GGAATAAATATTAAACAAGTTATAAGTCTTCTTTTTCGAGTAGGGAACAGGTTCTCTCAAGCGTTGAAGGTCCCATCGTTATGTCCAAATACTGCAGGCCCATTTAATGGGGTCTGTGCCAGTCGTGTACAGTATGAAGTATGAGTATGAATGAAGGTTAAAAAGCCATTGCTTGGGTAGGGCTGGAGGGAGGAGGTTGGAAATAAGCTTGGGTAAGTGGTGGAGTTAAAACTATTTAAAAGATATCAGTATTAGGGCCTATAAAAATTATAATTTAATTTAAGACTTTACTAAGATTATAAAGCACATGTGGCAAACACAAGGCTCGCCAAACAATTATATAAGGTCGCTATCTCCCCTCCCTAAGTCAACGCTATGGTGTTTTCCAATGCACACTTTGCTGAAAAACTTAGCTTACTTCGCATCGAGTTCGCACAGCGCTTTAGTGACTTTGAGGCACAGAAATATAATTTCAAGTAGTTTCGTAACGCATTCATCATAGATGTGGAAACTGCACCTGTAAATTTGCAGGTGGAACTAATAAAGCTGCACTGTAATATGTCACTAAAGGCAAAGTACGACACAGTTGGGCCTGCACAGTTCACTCGTTTCATTTCTGAAGAGATGCCCCAGCTTCGTCTACATGCGGCTCGAACCTTGTTGGGTAGCACATATATGTGTGAGCAGCTGTTTTCTGTATTGAAGATTAACAAAACACCACACTTGCAGTTGCAGTCTTTCATTAGAATCTCAATGACACAGAACGTTACTCCAAACATAAACTAACTTACTTGCTTTTGTAGCCAAGAAAATGGGCCAAACATCCAGCTCTGATAAATCGGCATAAGAACGAAAATGGGTATGCCAATGATTTTTTAATTTAATTTTTTTTTTCTGTTTTCATTTATATTATATATAAATGTATATAAATATGTATTTTTAAAAAGATTAAATTTCCGCTTATTGATATTGATGAAGTTTTATTCTGTTCGGCCCGCAACCTTACATTTGATTTGAGTTTTGACCCGTAAAGCGAATGATTTTGACACCCCTGCTATAGACTATAGTTATAGTCCTAAAGGGTCGGAATAACGGCAATTCGGACCCGGGTCCCTTTGCCTTTAGCCTAAACTAAATGCTATTCGGATGTCATTTTTTGGTAGTTTATTTTAGTTAAACTGAAGAAGTAAGATTACAAACATATAGTCTATTCAATTATCTTTCATTTGATACCAAATTTTGTCTTACAATCCCAACAATAATATTTTTAATACTTTTTTTAATAAACTCAACCTCTCACTCTTCTCCGGGTCCGTGAAAATAGACACTTGTTTAAATACAAAAATTTAACATCATTATTAATTATTTTAAATTTAAGTTTACCATGGAGTAATAGTTATGCCCTGGATAGTAAGTCATTTTTTTATAATTATTTCAAGAGAACATCCATCCAGCATGTTGATTCAATTGAGAAAACTAAGTCTTCCGATGAACATGTTTGCAAACGAAAATAAATGCTTTTAGGCGTTTTTAAAGGTAAATAGAATAGGATAACTCGTCTGCTAACTGGCTGAGTCGGATTTTTTTCTTCCTGCGTGCACCCTACACATTTGTTTAAAAATCACTTTAAATGAACCAGGCATTCTTCGTCAAGTCTAACGAATTATTTATAGCTCCTTTGACAAAAATAATAACGAATACAAATTTTCAAAAGCGATTTAGAGATTTAAATATTGGGTAATTTGTATAACGTATCGATGGTAATTTAAAAAAAGAAAAAAAACAAAACAAAAGAACAAAACAAAAAAAACTGCTATATCTGGGCGTATTGAATTCCCTGTGCCTCATCTCTTCCTCAATCCCCGTTTTTATAACATTCCCCTAATTGCTATAGTATGAATTTAAATAAATGCATGTTAGTAACATAGTAACATCATACTCCTTCAACAGCCATGTTGACTGTATGATATGACTCTACCAAAAACAGCAGTAGCGAGAGACCTACTAAATTAAGAATTCAATAAGGCTATAAGGATGATGATGATGATGATTGAGTGCTTTTATAGCGCTTGTGTCCATGGTATTTTAGCATGCCCCCAGCTCTCTGATGTCCTAAAATCTATTTAAAGAAAAAGAACAGCGACGACCAAAATTAATATTTCATACATTTAATAATTAGAAATACAATCTTTAGACTTTGACATGTTCCCTCTTTATTGCATGTGAGGTTGCCATGTGTAGGCCTACACTATTTGAGCGGACAGTCCGCTTTTTTTACATTATGTTCACTATTTTTTTTCACAAATTAGTTGATATTTTTTTTAAATTCAAAGCTTTATGATGAAATGGTACGTATTCTAAAGCTGTACAGTCTAAGAGAATAAGGATAGGAGAATCGCGTTTTGTCTTTTTTTTTTTTACCAAAAGTTAGAATGAGACAAAGATCGAGTATCTATTGAACTCGATTCAAATGAACTTGACTTGAATCATTAATTACGTCAACAAAATAGGGGGGGGGGGGCGGATTTGGAAATGTTTGACAGTTGTTGACTAGGGGGGAGGGAGGGGGTTTAGATTAGTTGACGTCAACAATAATGTGTTGTTTTTTTAAAATTAAAATTGACTGGTTATTGCATTATTTAAAAAAAATTAATGAGTGTAAATAATCATATAATTTTTAGGTGTCATGTGCAGTCAAGATAAATGATATTGTTAGAGTAGGAATACGATATTTTGAGAATTAGGGGAAAGTAAAGTGAGTAACAATAATAACATAACTGCTTGAACGGATTTGCAATATCTGTAACATCTATTATGCATCACAAGTCATGTTAAAAAAAGAATGTTCAACAGCACCGACAATGCCTTATTCAGCATAAGAAATTACCACCTGCTACTCGACAAAAAAGTATTCGACCAGTTAGCTGCCAGAGGACAGAGCGACCTGATGGCAATTATTGCTCATACCGAAAATGCTTCTATAATATTTTAAGTGCAGAATGGTTACATACGGATGATGTTGACTTGTCTGGTATATCAGTTCCACAAGATGAAATTGATAAATCAGCTACTATAGATTAGGCCCATTAGGGACGTCATTTCAAGGGTTTTTTTTCAGGGAGGGGGAGGAGGGAAGAGGGCAAAACCAAAACTTGGTCGGCTAGTTAAGTTGTTTATTACTGAAGGCGCCACACTACTTAGTAATTATAATAAAACCTGCAAATTGGTTGGGGGGGGGGGGCAAATGTCCCCTGCCCTACCCAAATGATGTTCCTGATGCCAATTGTTACGATAGAGCAGCACCTGGCTACTCCATGGGAAGGTGATAGCAGCTAGAAACTATGCTATAATTGTCAGCTTTATTGACAGTAATTATATTTATACTTCCACAAACAATGATATTTAATCTGTAACAAGCTTGGAATTGATTCTGCATTGTAAAATTAAGTGTATAAACTTTTTAAGTTGTTTAAGTTTAATTAACAAGCTAAACATGTAATGAAATGATTTTCCTTCAATTTTGAATCATTAAAATAAATCAGCACAAAGTAAAATTTATTTATATTAATACTTCAAAAAAGGGGGGTGGTGGGGGTATAAAATGTTGACATAATTAAATAGGGGGATCACAGAAAGTTTAACAGTTGACAAGAAAAGGGAGGGGGGTGTAAAAAAAAAATTGCGTAAAAATTGTTCACGTAATTAACTACCCCTATTTGTTTCACTTTAATCAAAGTATATAAAATTATTTACATATTATTTTTCTTAACTCGCATTTACATATTATTTTTATATTAAAATTTTTCTTAGTTGGATAGGTATGCTTTGGAACTTGGAACACTCAATAACGTATCATCATTTGAGGTTCAATGAGTACCAGCCTCAATATGTAGAGCGCCAATTTGTCAAACCAAAGATTTACCCCCCCCCTCCCCATCCCTCGGCTTGTCCGCTATTTTTTTGGAAGCAGACCAGGTAACCCTAATTGCATGGCTCTTAAACTGTGGTTCACGCCCATGGATCTTTTGGGTTTTTTTTCGGGGTGGGGGGTGGGGGATCATTGACAGACATTGTAAATGTGCCAGAGTTGCATTTTCTTTTATACATAAAAATATGTATTCTACCATATTACTCGTGGCCTTCATCTGGTCTGGTTGGCAAGGGGGTTCAAGGAGCCAAAAAGATTAAAACCCCATGCTATATTGACATGATGATTTAGAGCTTATAATATCCGCATTAAAAGCTCAAGAGATAAATCAGAAACTCGAGGAAATTGTCCCTCTAAATATGGCTGTGAAACTCACTAAGGGTTTGTGAAACCCGTAATGAAACTCGGAACAATGATAAATGCTTCACTGTGCCTCGGTGTAACACAGTTCAATATAAACAATCATTCTTCACACGAACAATAATTGCTTGGAACAAACAGGACAATGCAGCCGTGGACTCGAAATCAATCGAGAGTTTCAAGGCTGCCCTGGTACCCGCTAGGAGCGGTTAGGATAGCCGCATCGTTTCCCCAACCACTGTACATAATAATATGCCAGTACTTGGTTGCAGCAACGTAGCCTATCAGAATCAGAAATGCATTGAAGCGTTGATGTTGAAGCATGTGTGTGTGTGTGTGGTTGACTTCACTTAGCTAAGATAGGTGAAGCCGTATAAAATGTGGGCTCTATAATGACTAAACAAATGATATATCAAAGATCATAGCACATAAAAATATTGTGCTGGTTGCATGATAGCTGCATGCTTTATCATTACTATGCATAAAATTGGCGTAGGAAGGGGTGGGAGCAATGTTCCCTCTAAGGTTTGCTGGTTCGTGTGCAAAATCATACAGTTGTGTGCAAAACTTTAGGACATCATCAATTTTTTTTTTTGCAAAATTTTACAGCTCACAAATACAAACTTAGATGGAAAATTGCTGCGTTGATAGTCAAAACTGCTGCGCGGCGTCTGTGAGATAGCTGCGCGGCCGCACAGCTTGAGTGAAACATTGATTGGGAGAGGGCGGTCTGCACAAATCTTGGTCCGCCCCGGGTAGCACTAACCCTAGCTACGCCACTGTTTGCCTATAACTATAATAAATAATATAAACCGAACAGGATCCATGCCACACTTAAATTTTACATTTTTATGAAATTGTTCTAAGTATATTAACAAATAACAATTTTTAGCTTTACGAGAACTACAATGACGAGAAATATGTCAACTATTTTTACTACATATATAAAATTTTACAGTTTGCGATAAATAGTACAGCCTTTGTGTTTCACAACAACAACAATGTGTGGTTGACTGACAAATCGTTTTAAATCAATGTGACTTTCAAAAATACATAATAGTTTTGTGTATAATTTATGTGCATTGGATCATTTAACGTTTTTGAATTCGGGCTATTCTTATTTTTAAAAAATCATTTGTATATATTAAACAAACATTTATCATAGTAATGGGAGGATGGAAGCTAGAAGTATTTCGGGTGAGTGTACCATTACCCAGTCCAGTATACCAAAAAAAAAAGTATTAGGCCTATTAATAATAAAAAATATAATAAAAATAAAAGAAACTAGTACCAGTAAGCCCTATATTAATAGTTTATAGTTATAGAAAGTAGAAAGTAACAAGGTATATACTATATACCCTATAGAACTTTATTATTATTAATATAATATATAATATAGCCTATGACTATGGCCCTTATGGCCTATCCTATGTACTATGTACTATGACTATGAGTATAAGATTATTTAATTATGATGAAACTATGTAATATGTTGTTTTTTGTTTTTTTTTGTAGGCTTGCTTCTCACCTTTAATTTTAACTAAGAAGTTTAGGCCTAAATTTTATTTTTATTAATTTCATATATTTAAAAAGGTTAATATAACATAATAATGAGTGAGAAGGCTATTACTGAGGGTTTACTGTTACTATAACTATAATATTTATTTAATAATATATAATTTCTTAAACTTCAATTTTTATTATACTACAACTAAATTAAATATACATTTTTTAAAGTCAATATGTGGCCTAAATCACAATTATTGTTTGTAGTATTCTTAGATCAGTAGATGCAATTAAAATTTGAAAGTATTAGTTAGTATTACAATTAAAAATTATTAAAAGATCTATTTCCAATTTTCTATTAATTCTAAGTAGTCAGAAGATGCAAGAAAGTAGAGAAATACATTTCTACATATGATAATTCTTTTGACTTTGAGTATTTTGACCAAAAAAAAAATGTATCGAAGTGTCTAAATGTCCGGCGACCGGATGAATTAGTTCTCGAGAGATTCTTCCAGCGACCAAGTCACATGACCACCGTAACAAAGTTGCATGTCATATTTGTCCGCCAGCCTTTTCACGTGACCTCTAATAGTTGATCAGAACAATGGCATTTGAGATGCATGTGGGCGACGAGCTTACTTCATTTCAACAAATGGGGGAGGGGGGGGGGTGTTAAAGCAATGCATACTAGAAGGAAGAAATACTGAGAGTCAGTGAGAGCGAGAGAAAGGATACAAATTATATTGAGGGTGATAAATAATTAAGGCTGAGAGGTCGATAGTTCACAAAGAAATAGACCCTACCCTATAGGCATAGGGCTCATAGGGCCAATATGGTGTGATGTTGGGGTAGCCAACTTCTCACACAATATTTAATAGCCTAAAATAAAACTTTTTTGAGGTAGGTCTATTGAAAGTCAACTGGGAAGTATTGGTCTTATTTTGTTTGGTTCATGATCATGTTTTAAATTTAGGCTTCTAAAACTACATAGAGCATTATTTTATATTTAAACCATTAATAGACTTTTTTTTTAAAGAGTGGGATTCAAATATACTAGTATATATTATATATTATTTAGGCCTACTACTACTAGTAATAATAGTTTTGATTCAAAGTTAAACGCTTATGATACACTTTATGTATCTGAGAGCATTTGAAAATATTAACATATTCAGTATTTATTTATTATCTAGGGATGGGCTGACTAATATATGTACACAATTTTGGAATATTATATGCAATGCAACTATTTTGCGGAGACCTCTTGTTACATGACATATCTGACGGAATAATAACATCTACTAGTTGTCCGGCGGTCACGTGACATGCCTGCTGGAAGAATATCTCCCGCACTATTTGTCTAGTTGCCGGATGTGTAGACACTGCCAATATTTATTTATGCTTGTGATAGCCTACTTGCTGATAAAGCAAAATAATATATCAGACCTGTTTACTCTTACGATTTTGGCGTACTATGTATGATTTTGAGGTGTATACATTATATATACTTTATGTTTGTTTTTTTACTATTAAGATAATGTATTGAACAATTTTGTGATGATATTGTACGATTTTAAGAGTTTGAGGGTAAACAGGTCTGATATATGTTTATAAGGTCTTAAGTCTAAAGTACTCCCCCCTTTCTACTAATTATAACAATAATTAGATCTATCCTTTGAGTTGAGTTTGTGAAAAATAGAATGAGTTGACTCAGTTTAAAAATTATTGACATGGCCATAGTCATTATGTCACAGTCTATTAAATAAATATTAAGCCTCTTTAACCCACGAACTGTGGTCGGCCGATAAAAAAAAGGTCCAATAGCAACTTCCAATCCAATATTTAACCGGAATTATAGCCACGTCCTTTAATTAATAATCAAATCATCTTCCAGTTCAAGCTATTTCGTGATAATTTGAAAATAAATACTTTTTAATCGAGTTCTATATCGCTGATTTTTTAAACGCTAAAATGGTTGAAGCCATGGCTGGGCCTTCAGTGCAAGAACAAATAGAAATATGTTTCAAACCTTTTTAGGAGAGGTTGTAAGTGATACTGATGATGATTTTAACATTTCCCATGACGGTATCAGTTGAGATTATTCTTTTCGTGAATTTTATACTAGTCTTAGTGATACTGAAGTAGGCCTACTGAGGCTACTGTTAGACTTCGAGCCAGGCCCGGAGGTTGGGCAAGGACTGACTGAATTTTAGTCACAGAAGCTACAGATTATAGTTCAGAACTAATAAATTTTATAGTTAAATAATCCAAATCAGTTCCACAGTTCCTTTTAAATCTTTACAAGTCAATAATAACTATTTTGCCTGAGATTTCGTATTTTGTACTTGGACTTAGCAGTGGTCCCAGTTTCTTATATAAATGACCTAAAGCTACTAAAATTCAGAGGTTTAATTGCAATCAAAATCTTAGCAAACTATACATTTTCTTAAAGATAAATGAATTGGCTACAACATTTAGATTTGTATTTTAAGTGTGTCTATAAAAATTAATGATGTTAAGAGCATTTGAAAGCAAGACATTTTGTCAATTTTTTTTTTCCTTGAGAACTCCAAGGTCAAGGACACTGAGCAAAATTTTTTTACGGGATGGGCAATAAGGTCAACTTTATCCTCCATCCATTTTCCTTTCTAAAAATATATACTTATACGGGTCTTGTATCAATATTTCTGTGTCATTTAATGCAATTTCAAATGGCACTCAAAATGCTCTGAAAAGCTCCACATCACAGAATGATGCATGCCACAGTTCGTGGGTTAATTTAAAGCTTTTCTTTCATTTTGATGTAATTATTAAAATTTGAAATTAAATATGTAATTAAAAATGATCTAAAATTGTTTTTTTTTGTTTTGTTTGTTAGATGGCTGTTTACATAAGCTTTCCTGTTGGATTATTTTATTTGTTCAACCAGCCATCATTTTTTGAAGACTGGATGATGGAAAAGAGAGTGAGTTTGCTTCTATTCTTCTCTATATTAAGAAAAAAAAAGGACAAATGTCAGTTATCTGTAGTTGTTCCACTAAATATGACAGCGGTTTCTATATTTTGCTGATTTCACAAAACAATTATAACTCTTAAGTCTAAGGAAATCCTGGATACTTAATGTTCATGTGGGAACCTGTTGTGTGAAATCACTGATGAGGGATGTTGAAAAGATTTCACCTCATTTGAGTGTGCTACACATGCTTTTATTTTTAATTAGATGAAATCTCAAAAGAAAAACACAAATTATCCCCATTAAGTTTGTGAAACTCACTCAAATTAATGTCATACTTGGTCTGTGTGATGATTTATAGATAATTCATGAATGTATAAATGGGCTAGGAAAAATATATTTTTATAATCCAGTCAATAGCAGCATTGTAGTGAAACTTTCAATTTTGCCACATCAGAAACTGTCCTTGCAAACCTGGAAATTTTTGTTCACTACCCTACTGAATATTTGAAAAGCTTACTTTTAAAGTGAAAGCCATCAATTTATGAATGTAAAATGTATCTAAAATAAATCTTGAATTACCCCCCAATCTGTATAAGACAAAACTGGCATTAATCTTTAGGCTTTAGGTCATTAGTGGGATTCCACTTAAATTGAAATCTGACGATATATCTAAGGGCTGTGCTTTCATTTCATTGTTACTATTCTGTCACATTGAAATAGAATTACTCTGGGAGATAAAGAAAGCAGGGTTGTTTTCAATTTTGAATTCAAAATAGACTGATAATAATTTCTTTGAATGGTTTTGTTTTGAAATTTTATAGTACAAGTAAATGGCTAAAAGTAATTTATTATTTCAGGTTTCTGCAAAATTATTTACTGATGGCTGAAAAAATTATATAATTTAAATTGAAGAAACTGCATTCAGTTAAGCTATTATAGGACTGCAGTTGAAAAAATAATTTTTATAAATTCACACTACAGCTTCAAAGTAAATTACCACTTGGTTCATTTATCAATAATAACCAGAATATCAAGTTTCTAAAGATCTGAAATGTCTTAATACTTGATTTAGTGAATTACTCCATGACTTTTTTTATTCAGAGCCAGAAGTTATAAAAATAGCTACTTAAAGTTATAAAAATAGCTACTTAAAGTCCAAAGGTATTTTGCTTTTTTTTTTTTAAATACAAAGTACATTTGATTTAGATTCCTTCTCTGCAGCTCTGTTGATGATGCAAAAAAGATGCCAAATTTTATATTTTTTTAGAGCTTCATTACATAATCAACATTTATATATTTTGTTTGATTTACAAAATGGACTTCTGACATTTTTATTGATTATTAAATTACACATGCTAAATAAAAAGTGAGATTTTTAAATTATATAACAAAATAAGATTTATTAATAATGTTTCCTTTCAGGCCAAGATTTTCCCTCCTTCTGACCCTAAAGCAGTAAGTCTGGATGTTTATACTAATTTATAGTATCCTTTAATCTTTAGCAATAACCTCTTATTAAAGTTAAAAATAATAAATGATAGTAGCAAATTAATTTTGTAACCAACCATCTAGAACAGTTGAATTTAATAGCTTCATCCTCATACAGCTAGTTTAATTCAATCATGCCTATTTTACCCTCCATGTTTAAGGTGCCAATCACTAAGAAAATCTAGAGCATTGATATATTTAAGTTGTTTTGTCATTTTTGTATGTGAAAGAATAATGCCAACTTTGTTTTGAGTGTGAAAATTATCTATAAAAAAAGTATATCTTTGTAATTTCTACAATCTTTGTAATGCCTTAATTCACTGTCAAATTTTAAATAGATCATATGGGATATTGTATCTCTTTGAGTTTATTTATTACCATAAAAACAGTTTGAGAAATATTTTCAAAATTTGGCATGTGTTGTTTATGGATGGCATCATCTTGTTTTTTTTTTTTCATAGTATGGACTGTTGGTTTAATTTCTTTAGTTGATTTTGCATTTTAAGAAATTAAAAATACAGAGGTGAATTATCATTTACTTAAAATATATATGTCTGTAAGTATTTGTAAAATTGTTTAGTTGGATAAAAGCATTGTTTTAAAAACCACTCTAATAAAACTGCTTTTCAAACAGTCATCCTTATTACCACAGAGCCCCTTGCCCAATATGATCCTTTCATACACTTTGACACTTAGCTGACAAGTGAATAAGGGCTTGCAGTGCTGACCATCAATTTAGTTTTAGCTACACTGCTGTAAAATATATATTAAAATAGGGTATTTTTTTAATGAACAAATTCAAAGTGACTTATTTAAATAACCTTCCTATATTATTAGATATTGGTTTAATGATGAAAAATTATTTTAATGTTGAATAATTTTATTCCACAGCTTAAAATACTAGAAGATTATAAAGCTAAGATGGAACTTAAACAAGAAAATGAATGGATAAAGGCACAGAATTCAAAACAACTTTAATTATAATTACCAATAAATATATTTAAAATCATATTGCTCTTACTTTTAGTATTACTGTTCTTGTTGTAAGCAAACTTAAAGAGTTTGAAGTAATAATAACATCAATACAGTCATGTTCTGTATATTGATTAATTAGTGAATTGAGAATAATTAACAGGGTGTGCAATAGTACTAAGTAAAAGTCAAGTTTTTGTCTTTTTATGAATCTGCTCATTCTGCCCAAAGGAATGTTTATTTATAAAATTAAAACTAAAGGGTTATTGGTAGAATAGCTCAATTTAAAAGTTGTCATTTTAAAAATTAATGAGTCCTGTGATATTGAAGTGAAACAGGTGCATCAATAAAAAAACTTATGTAACAACAATAGCCCTCCCAAGAACTGCAGTGACTTATATTTGCAGACTTTTGGAATCCCCCCCCCCTCTCCCCTTTTTGAAGAGAGAGCTAGATGTTATATTTATTTTTATTCTGTATAGTATTGTATTTGTAAAATAAACTTTAGCACCTGACTGATTCAACAGCCAGGCCAACTCATTTTACATGAGGACTTTAAAATTGGCGATTGGTGGGTACATTTATTTTATGACAAAGGCACTAGCTAAGAGAAGATTTTAAGAAATGTTTGCCTCTAATGGGGTGTAATTTTTAAATAAGAAAACTGATATTCGACAGGAGAAGTGGTATTTAAATTCTTAATTAGAAATTAAAATAATATGTTTGATCATTTTATGAGGGTCGAGGGATGAAAAGGTGTGAGGGTGCTGCAGTTTAATGAGGAGACTTGTAACCAAACAAAAAAAATGAAAATTCTATAGAATCTAGCACCCCCATCACATAAAATTTTTAATTTGTTGGACCACATGTAGCAGTTTTTAAAATTTACATACAAATGTAACCTTTTAGTTTTCATAATTCAGTAAAAGTTGATTATGTTGAACAAGCAATATCTCATCTTTTTAAAGGAGGGTAATTATTTAGCAACAGTTTTAGATTTTAGCATCTTCATTGGTCAATTACTATTAATGAGATGCATGGGTTTAGTGGAAGTGATAGCAGTTTTTCAGTGCCTGATTTTAAGTCTTTGTAGAACTTGTATTCCCTAAGTTTGTATTTTTATGTTTTGTCTCTGCTGTATGACTATGCAAATACAATGATAGAAATGCAAAAACTAGTTAATTAATCACTGTGTAGGATAGAAATATAAATTATAATTTTTAAGTCAAAATACTTTGTACCATTTCAAACGCATTTTCTTCTGATCTCTATATAGTTTTTTGGATTAGCCCCTCCTCCGGTTCATTAGCTGCCACAAAAATATAAAACATATTTTTCAGCCATTTAGCGATTTACATCATAAGAAAATACTAAAATGGTTTACTATCTTCTGTAGCAAATACAAATGGTGACAGATAATCGTATTGCATACAATTTATTTATTTTTGCCCAGACCCGTTGGAAAAGTATAGCTCAAGACAGCAAATATTGTACCGGTACTTACTTAGAGTTAATTTTCATACTCACTTCCGCTGTACAAAAACATAATTCACTCTCTTTTCCCGTGAAAAATACACGTTAACATAGTTCAATATTCAAATTATGCCACCTCCCTGACTCAATAGTTTCGTGTGCAAACATGGTCTGTTACATGAAAGAAGGCATTTTTTGTATAATAATAAAATTGATCTCTATAAATTTGGAAATTTAAAAAAAAGCTAAAACATTTAATAAATATTACTGATAAAAAAAAGCCATGCCATGTTGTGTGTGATGTCTTTGAGATCAATTCCAAGAGAAGCACTTATGTCTTAAACACTCTTCACAATCTTTTCAAATAAATTGTTGAAGTTGATGCCAACATACTTAGAGTGTCAGGAATAACCTTAAACTTGATTCATTGAAGTTTTTTATCAGACTATCACAGAGTTTTGTAACATCCTCATGTTGGCAATAAATGGCACATCGAGTGGTTAAGACATTTAGTCGTTTTTTTTTTCTGTCTACAAATAAGAAACAACCCACGATTGCAACTGATCTTTGATTCCATGATACTCAATCAGTTACAGAATACAACAGAATGTTAATTAGTGGCATTTCCTTAAAGAACTACTCAGCAAGCCTAAATATTGATACCCCACCCAGTGGTGTCACTTGGGGGGGGGGGTTTGCGGGCCGCACAGGATGACACTCTCACATGGTGTGACATCCAGGGTTGCCAACTCAAAATTACAACCAGTAAGTTAATTAGTGGCATTTCCTTGAAGAACTATTCATCCAGTGGTGTCACTTGGGGGGTGCGGGCCGCACAGAAACTGATCTTTGATTCCATGATACTCAATCAGTTAAAGAATACAACAGAATGTTAATTAGTGGCATTTCCTTAAAGAACTACTCCGCAAGCCTAAATATTTATACCCCACCCAGTGGTGTCACTTGGGGGGGGGGGGTTTGCGGGCCGCACAGGATGACACTCTCACATGGTGTGACATCCAGGGTTGCCAACTCAAAATTACAAACAGTATGTTAATTAGTGGCATTTCCTTGAAGAACTATTCATCCAGTGGTGTCACTTGGGGGGTGCGGGCCGCACAGGATGACTCTCTCATAAGGGGTGACATCCATGGTTGCCAACTCGAAATACAATTTATGAAAACATATTCTAATTCTCAACAATTTACTTATCACAGCACGGAGGAAAAAAAAACAACAACTAATTCCGGCAATATGCAATAATATCTTTTTTTTGTACTCAATAAACCTCATTTAATGTCCACAATAAACATTTTCCCAATTAGAAATGAAACGTTAACACAGTGGTTTTCAAACTTTTTTCTCTTTATGGCACCTTTTCTAATTTCAAGTTTTCCCAGTGTAGGTTAGACACAATGGAGAGAAATATGGAATCGGTGCTTCTTTTTAGATGCTATATAACTTCACTTTTGATCTTGTGTTTAGGGCAAAATCTTTGAATGGCTAATTGACCCACATCCCGGTCATTTTATCAAACTGAAACTTGGTACATAGATTCGTTGCCAATGACAACACGTTCTATCAAACTTCCAGCCCATCCCAACCCCCAAATATTCATTTTTTTCTGTTTTTCAAGGGGAAGAGGAATACAATATGATTTGTTTCATGGGTGCGTGTTTTGTTGTGGAGATTACTTGTGTAGCTGTTGCTATGTGCTTTGTATTTGTGAAGTATTTGGGGATGCAGTAAAAATAAAATGTATTTTTGAAAGGGAATATAAAAGAAATATGAAATGTGTTTTTGACAGAAGTTTACCCATCTACATATATGATTGATTGATTGATTGATTGGATATTTATATAGCGCTGGTATCCATGCTACTTAAGCATGCTCACTGCGTTCTGGTTTACTTAAATTTATTTAAACAAAAGTTTTTAATTGTTTCATATATGATTTTTTATCCTTATCAATTCCCCTCAAAGATTGAGGCAAACTGTTCCATAATTTTGGCGCTAATCGCTTCAAAAGAGCACACTCCGTAACACTTTTTTCTGTGTTGTTCCACAGTGGAAATTTTCAGTAAGGACTGTTGAAGACCGCAGGTTCTTTAAGGATACATGTTTATAAACTGTTTATGACATAACTACTTCTTAATAAATGATAAATCACATAGAATTATAATTACATAAATGCAAACAAAATATAATATAGAGGATTTATACGAAAAACTTTGTTTTTAAGGGTTATTAACATTAACTATTAACATAATAATATTCTAGGGGGATACATTTTGCTTGTATTAAATCAATCAATATATTCTCTGGGTATGAATGTATCTTAATTTAATAGCACACAAGATAAAATTCCCGATAACTGCGCTAAATTAGATTCTTAAAAATACCACAAGTGTGTTTGGAGCGCAATATTTTCTTTTTGTTTCAAGGAAATATTCCCAATTCAAATATACATTTGCTGTGTAAAAGGGGTTGCACATTAACATATTAATAAAATATAGTTCAAGGGCGAAAAAAAACTGTGCGTTGCGTAATTATAGTTAGTAGCCTACTAATTTAATTGGGATTCTTATTAATTGCATTGCTGGGCTTAACGAACTTAAAGAACGGCTGAGAAGGAAGGCTAAGACTAAGATGCTATCGATACGATATGAATTTCTATTCAACTAATATATAATACTAGAATAAATGACCCGATGTTATCGGGATAACAATGGTAGGTCCTTTGCGATAATTTCTAACTGCTATTGCAAAAACTCATCCCAATTCATAACTTCTAAAATGTAATATTTACATTTCTAACAGTTTTGAGAAGTGTCTATCTGCTTATATATGATAAGCGTACACTACACCCTTTCACTTTCACGCTCCTAAACTACTTTCCCCCCTCTAAACACGACCTTAAATTACCCAGTCTAAATTATCACTAATTATATCACTTTTGTCAGTAAAGAAGTTCATTAAGGGACAATTACTACGCTAGAAAAATACTTAAGATTTACCCCTTTTCGTGCCCTTGAAAACAACTTTTTTCTCTCAAAATTTTTCAAAAACCTAATCTTAAATTTACAACAAAAACTCCATATATGATATGAATATATTTTGTATTACAGGAATTCAATTTATATTGATATCGTCATAAAAAATTTGAACACTTTTTTGCCTTTTTAAAAAAATTATACATTATTAGACAATCGTAAAACAAAGAATACTTTTATCTAAGAAGAATCTCGCAACTGTTTTTCACGCCTACATCAGATATGACTGTCTTTAAAAAAAAACTAAATTGTTAATCTCATAAAAATACACACCTCTTTACTTTTTGCAAAGTAACAACAAAGACATATTTTCATTTTTTAAAAAAGAAAATATTAACCCATCTTCATGTCAACATGTGGTTATTTGTAAAAAGAGAATTTAACTTCTCTTTTTCCATAAATGTAATACCCTAGGATTTAAATCTATTGTCGTCCACGTAAAATGTACAAATTCTTTTTCCTATCTCCGATAAGTATGTAGCCAAGAAGGTTAATTATTTATCAAATTAATCCCTTTATTTTGGGACGTATCTTGTGCTGCCTTGGACAAAATGAACATTACTATATTTGTAAAGAGAGAATGTAGCATCACTTTTTCACAAATTTTAATGTAATACCATAGGATTTAAATATATTGTCATCCACGTAAAAATGTACACATCGTATTTCCTACCTCCGATATGTATGTACCCAAGAAAGTTACTTATTTATCAAACTCATTCCTTTATTTTGAGACGTATCTTGTGCTGCCTGGGGCAAAGTGAACAGCCGCTCCCCCACCCAGATTTAAATAAATTTAGAAAATCTTCCACCGGATTGTATTCCCTTCAATACTGACATAGTTTGCACTTGATATGGTTTGTTCTTATTTGTATGAGGTATAGGTCATAATAGGTGGATTGGTGAATGCTATTTAGCTATGGAGTTGCGCTGCACTGATTGACTTAAACCGAATTTTCTTATTAGAATTATATTTAAAGGTTAGTTTTTATTACGTTATAAATTTAATAAAAGTATAATTTTGGAATCAAAACAGGCAAAACTTTTTAAATGTAAAAATATACAAATCTAAAATGTGTGTTTTATGAACAATTTAAAAAGCAATCAATTATTAATTTTACTTTTAAAAAGGGAAAATACATTATCAGTTTTGTCACGCGCGGTTATTAAATTAAAGAAAACTACGAGTTTTAGCGAAATGGACTATTCGCACTATGACGTCATTTGCATTATTATTTAGAACAAATTAATTTTAATTGGCAATATTAAAAAGGCACTAAAAGACGCACTAAAAACGACTGATGCTTGGGTTTTCCCGATAAATGTGATTACGGTGTAATTCTTTGATTTTTATCTTTTTATTTTTTCAAAGCTTTAAAATTCATATAAAATGCTTAAAATAGTTCCTTAGTGTATGCTTTAAATGTGTTTGTAATTTATAATAATAATACTTAAACGTTTACTAAAATAAAAGCGGATTTAGAATATTTTTTTGCGCATTTAAATTTATTCGATTTCCGTAAAATAATAGAAAATAACTATGATTGTTTTTAGGAATCCGAATGTACTTAAATCATATCTCCCTTTTAGCGTTATGTCATTCTTGCTCATTCTTATATATATATATTATATATGCGTTCGTTGGTATCAGAAAAATTAAAACTGCTTCTAACCAGCAACCATAACGCTATATTTGATTTTTGTTAGGACAGTGGTTCTCAACTTAAACGAGTCACGACAACCCTTCGGAGGGGGTGTGCCTGGCAAAATCAAAATGTTACAGTTCGCTTAAGAATTTCAAATGTTAGGGAGTGGTGTGTTTGTGTAGGCCTACAATGTTTAGTTTTCGTACTTGAATTTTCAGTTTAAAATTGTGAAAATTATTTACAGAAATCAGACTAGTTTCTGCTGTTACTACAGGTACATCGGTACATAGAAGAAAAAAACAAAAAAAAAAACAAAAAAAAAAAAAAAAAAAAAAAAAAAAAAAAAAAAAAAAAAAAACCAAAAAAAAATAAACAAGCCTACTAGTCTATTCATTCGGTATATTTAACTATATTTCATTTGGTAATTTACATTATAAAAATTAAATATCTATATTAACTTTAAATATAATTCGTCAGCAAAGGTCAAATACCACCACGCAGGCTATATATAGATACGCCAGCGTTTGGTTAAATAATGAGTTTACTAGTGCGCAAAATATAATTTCCGATAACTACGCTTAATGATATATGTATTTTTTTTAATAATGCAATTGCATTTGGTGCGTAGTATTTTCTTTTCGGAAATGAAATCGTCTCACTTTAAGTATTGTGCAAACAAAATATTGGGTTTAAAAGTGGTTGGGACATAGAGAATATTAATAAAGTTCATTGGCGTGAAATAAAAAGTGTGCAGTGACGTATCATGAGGGAAGGGGTGTAGCAAATATTGGTATTCTTAAATGTGCGTTACTTGAGTTCATGTTTTGTCAAGTAACTTTACTAGATGGGGAGTTCACGCCGACAATGTTTGGCAGGCTCTATCTAGTTATATATAACTATCGAATTATTTTTTACTGTCCCTCGACCCCCACCCCTCTAAAAAATGGTACATTCCACGTAAACCAATACCGTAACCAAGTCCAAGTGTGTAATATTTTTTTTTTTTAATGTGGGCGTGGGAATTGACTTACTCTACTTACAGTGCCTCTCAACAGAAATCACCACCTTTATTTGGTAAGTCTCAGGCTTTATTTGAGCTTCTCTCCTACTCCAACCCAAGCAAAAGTAGGGTCTACCAACACTAAGAGCTATTTATAAAAAAAGCTCTACACCACTTTTCTAAACCGGTTTCTCAAATTCAAGGTATAATTCTGGTTGTTAATAAACTTAGAAAATAAAATTATGTTTTAATTAAATGGGTCAGGGCAATAAAAAGAATGAGAACCGATGGGTTATGATAAAATTATTAAGCTAATTAAATTAGTGATTTGAACCCTTCATCGTTGATACTTTTGTCGTAATCGCTATGTAGTAGGGCGTTCTAACAGGCAACAGTTGTCATTTTTATTAGTTCTGCTTTCTTAACCACCCCTCCCCCCCCCCCCCCCCACTTCTACCCCCCCCCCCCCCCCCCATCCGTTCAACCGAAACTTATCTTTAGTCTTTACCGACCCAAAACCCACTAGATACAGTTCTATTAGGTCGTGACCAATCTCACCTAGATGTACAATTACGCGAATACCCCAAATAGAAATTGTTGAGATTGCGAAAAAATTTTTTAAAAGTTAATGTGGTTGCTAATCTACATTTATTTTGTTAGATGTCTTAGCAGTAGCCATAAAAAAAATGTTTTATTACGCGTACTGTATCCGGATTGACTCCATAGAAACCACAATTAATTACACATATTTTGATGACGTATACACAATCCACAACCTCTTAATTTAATTTATTATTACGCATTAAGAGTCGGGACAGGAATGTTTAAAGAAATAAGCAAACAATAAATATTTTTTTAAAATCAAATAATTTGTTTTTTAGAATGTAAATAATGTATATTTAAACTAAATATCTCATTTTTTAATAAGGACTATTTTCTCATTATTGTTACGATTGTAAATTGTTCTTCCGTCCTCCATGACGGAATTTGTGGTCTTCGAAATTCTTTCAAACTGCTCAAGCAATGAATTCTGAAATAGAGCCACACATTACGAAAAAATACGAAATAAAGAAGCGCCTAGGAAAAGGAGTAAGTATATGCTATCCTTTTTATATTATAAACAGAAGGATAATTAACTTAATAAACAACTATTTTATATTGTTGTCAAGGAAGCTTTCTGAACTTTCTCATTCTCTCGCCCCGACTGTCCCCAGCTTTTGACATTTCCAGTGTCGTATTGTCAGCTCTAGCTCTACATTCCCGTGACTGCAACATTAACTGATTCTGTCTTAATAGTTATTTTGTCATCGTTCTGTACAAAAGCAAGCCCACATTTTTCCCAATAAATTTGATGAATAAAGTACCATACATTAATTAATGACAATGTCAATGTACAAAGACTATACTATGGTAGTCGTATGCCTTTATATAACTTATTATAGACTTATTAGAATAATAGCATATTGACACTATTGTGTGGCCTACCACAAGGGCTCCCGGTCTTTTTAATTCGCAGAGCCCTTTTTATAATAACTTTCTATGGGGTAGCGCCTTAGGCTCAACCTATGTCTTACTACAAGTTAATCAAATTTAGGAATAGTTTGAAGAAAAAAAAAGGGGGGGGGGAGGGGGGAATTTGATTTTGAAAAAAAAATGACTTAACATGACATCAAATAATGTTGAAACTTTTAATGGGATCCCTGTCCTGTGACTGTAGTCTGTATACTTTTCTTATTTTTGTTTAACTAATGATAATGCTAATTAATGATATATGAATTATATGTGGGGAATCTTGATTCACATAGAAATGTAATTGAAAAAGGCTGCAATACTAATCGTGTTATCTCAGAAAATATTTTGAATTCATCACATAAATGCAGATAAAGTTCCAATAGACTTTGGTTCTGAAACATGATTTTTAGCTCGCTGTGAGATGTCAAATCTATGAGAGCTTAGTATTTCACTGAGCTGATGTCATGTATTTTTTTTGTTTTTCACGATGACACATTCAGTACCAATTTAAGGACATGAAGCAACTTCCCATATTATACCTTGAGCTATTGGAAAATAATTTTTGAACAAGTCTTTTAAATTTTCATGATGCACCAGAATATTGTCCTGTAATTTTTCTTGAATCATGTTATTTACTTTCAAGAAGCTTTTTGTAAGAGGCAAGCTATCAAAAACTTCTTTCTCCAATAAGACTCTCAGTCCAACCAATACATAAGTTTCCTCTTAACGAAGACACTTGGTGTTTGCATTAAAATCTATAGTATATTTTTTAAGCAGTTATAGATTCACTGTGTTCAGTTTGCTGAAAATGTTGGCCAAATAACAGCAGTTTGTATATCCAGTCTTCTTAGTGTAAAACCATACACAATAAAGCGTTATGGTCCATTAAAATAGATGTTATGTCTACATGGAGTTAAAAAAATGTGCAAATGTTTTCTTTCAGACAATAACCTTTCTTTAATGTGCAACAGGAGTGATAGATCATAACTTCTCATAATTGACCCATTATTTTAGAGCAGGGGTGCCAAACTCAATTGCTTCGTAGGCCAAAACTCAAATCACATGTAAGGTTGCGGGCCAAACAGGATAAACATTCAATAAGGGGAAAATTAATAAATGAAAACAGAAAAATGTTTTAATAATAAAAAATCATTGGCATACCCATTTTCGTTCTTATGCCACTTTGTCAGAGCTTGATTTTTGGCCCATTTTCTTGGCTACAAAAAGAAGTAAGCTCGTTTATGTTGGGAGTATCATTCTGTGTCATTGAGATTCTCATGATGGACTGCAAGTGTTCATCAGTGAGATGACTCATGTGTGATGTTTTGTTAATCTTTATCACAGAAAACAGCTGCTCACACATATTTGTGCTACCCAACATGCTCAAGGTTCGAGTGAATTGTGTAGACCCAACTGTGTCATACTTTACCTTTAGTGTCTCATTACATTGCAGCTCTATTAGCTCCATCAGCAAATTTACAGGTGCAATATAAATGTTTATGACAAATTAAATGGGTTTTGTAACAGCTCAAAATTACATTTCTGTGTTTCAAAGTCACTAAAGCGTTGTGCAAACTTGGCACAAAATAAGCTACGTTTTTCAGCAAAGTGTACATAGGGAAACACCATAGAATTGACTTGGATATAATTGTACGCTGGTCAAAACCTTGCGGCCCTGACATAATTGTATGGACGGCTGGATGAGGCCGCGGGACTTGAGTTTGACACATGTTGTTTAGAGCCTGCTTTTAAGAGGTGATTTTAATTAGTTTATTATTTCAACACTATCATTAGCCCAAAAGGCATTTTTTTTGAGGTTATTGTCTGTCTATGAAGAAGACAATGGTTGGTGCTACATTTCTTTGACTTTTCTTAATTTTAATTTTGGCAATGGCTCCAGCATTGTTATCCATAATTGGCTTTACACCATCAGTACATACATCTGTACAGTTTTCTCAAGCTATGTAATTTGATGTGAAGAATTCATCTAAAAGATTAAATATTTCACTCCCTGTTGTGTTGTTTGATAGTAGACTGCAAAGTACAAGGTCATCCTAATAGTTTTGTACATAAACATAATAAAGAAATATAATTAAAACTGCTGATCCCACGACATCAGTCGATTCATCTATTTGAAGTGTGAGTTGGTTAACCTATTACTAACTTCACAAATAACACTCTCAAAAAGTTCAAAGACAGCTAACTCATGGAATAATTGCTAAAAATCACAATATGTTACTATTACAACCAAATTGACCATGTTCTAAATGATCACAGGCATGGATCAAACATACTTGATGTAATATGCAGACTCTGACCATCAACCTGTAAGGATTAAATATAAGCAGAGAATAAGCATAATTCACAATGGCCGAAAACTAAAAGAAAAATGATATAATTACCAAAAACTTACCAAAGACCCACTAACCGCAAAAGCTTACCAAAAAAGAATTAGAAGCCTAACTAGAAGCATTACTGGAGAAAATTAACTGGGAAAGCAACATAAATGAACAGTGGGAAAGGATAAATAAGGCTATGAAAAGATCAGCAAAAAGAGTAGTATGATTTCAGCGACCTAACATAAGGGTAGGCTAATTTGATTATGAATGCAAAGAGACAAGTCCCTGGAGAAGACCTCATCACAGCAAAACTTATTAAAAGTGGAGGATGAGAACTTATGAACTACACACTCAGACACATAAACTTATAACTAAAATTTGTCACAAAGATAAAATTCCAACAGAATGGGAAACAGCACTAGTAACCCTAATACACAAGAAAGGTTCCAATCTTCAATGCACAAACTACTGAGGAATTTCCCTATTAAATATTACATACCAAATACTGACAAAATTTAATTGATAAGAGGCTACAACCGTACACTGAACTACATTGTGGATTCAGACTACAAGATCAATGACTGATCAGATTTTTACGAAGATAAAATTCCAGTGCACCAAAACAAATGTGGATTATAAAATTGCCTATGATGGCATCATTAGAAAATATCTATATGAGACTCTGCAGGGGTCTCCAAAAAACCAACTTACATTAAACAACTAAAAAAAGCAAAATCAAACTTCAGAATTTAAAAGAAGTTATAAGAAGCATACATATTGACACCCGAGGAACAATCGCAGGATACTTTCTTTCGTCAACCTGTTTTGGTCATATAGTGTTCATTTGAAGCAAAGATCCACATTTTCTGTAAGGTTATGCAATAAACTTTATACTTATGTAATTTTCTTCTCTCTAATAATAATTTCAACAGGCTAGTAAAAATGATTGTTTAGAATTAGGTTTAAAATTTTGAGACTTTTTAATGTTAGTCAAGCATAGGCCTTTTGTAAAACAATGAATGAAAAATGGTTACAATAACCTAATTTAATGCTGAAGTTGTGTCATCAACATAGAAATTTAAAAAAAAAGGAATGAAGTTGACCAACAGAAGTAAACAAAAGTATGCATTGAGGCTATGTTTTCTATGGACTTTTTAGCTAAAATTAAATTAATCTTACATTGAAACTTCAAAAAATTAGCAAAGGAATAGTGAAAATTAATTAATAATGTTGATTTTACAGATAGTACTTTAAAACAATATGTTGTTTTCTTCCAAAAGTAAATTCTTTTAAAACCCATCCAAAGTTCTACCTGGGGAGGGTAGAAGGGGAAAGACTCTTCCTTTACCTCACTAAGTTCCATAAGATATAACGAAAGCCATGAATTGAAATCCAGGTTAGAAAAACTAATGAAAATGGTGATTAGAAAATTACAAGATGATTGAATGCACATATCAAAGATTACATTGAGAAGAGTGATAATTGAGCAGAAAGCCAAAATTAAATATAATTGATGTTAAAATATAAAGGATTCATCTAATCAGATGATATGTTGCTTCTTTCCAAACTGACCCAGACAGGTGTATTTGAACAAGCTTTGATAAAAAAATTATTCGCAGATTGTTAAAATTTGTCTTTACCATTCCACTTGCTTCATATACCTGCTTTTCTAGTGTTTTTTTTTACAGTTCAGCATCTTATTATAAGTGACATTATCATATACTTTTATTTGTTTCAGGCTTATGGCATTGTATGGAAGGCCATTGATAGGAGGACAGGAGAGGTGGTTGCAGTTAAGAAGATTTTTGATGCCTTCAGAAATAAAACAGATGCTCAGGTGATAATCAGAGGTTTCAATGAAAAGTGATGATGGGGGGTATACATTTTAAAAATATAGGACTATGAAACAATAAAAAAAAAAATTAAAATGGATAAAAGAAAAGAATAAAGATAAGTGAAAAGAATAGTCAAATTATTTTAGTGCAGAAGAAATTTACCGTTGATTTCCTACTCTAAAAATTATTTTGAACTTACGCTACCACTGCTTTTAATAGTCAAAACTGGTCATGTATGGCTCACTTTATTTCATAAGGTTAGGTATAGGCAAGAATTTCTTTTTCAAATCATAAAATTTATTCTGTCTTAACAGCGTACATTTAGAGAGATTATGTTCCTACAAGAATTTGGGGATCATCCTAATATTATCAAATTACACAATGTGATCAAGGCTGAAAATGACAAAGATATTTACTTAGTCTTTGAGTTTATGGGTGAGTACTTACTTATGTCTGTGAAGTATGTGTGCATTACATTGTTCAGTTAATTGACATCTTCACTAGAGATTGGAAGTGTTGTGTGTAATTTTATGTTTGAAGCAATAAAAATAAAGAAATATGTATTGCAGGTGACTTGTGTTTGTTTTTTTTATTAATTCTATAGTTATCTCAATGTTTAAAAACCCATACCAATTTATTCAAAATCTTTTCCCCCATAATCATTCTTTGTTACAAATGATTATTAATTTTTTTTGAAGGAGTTAGTAGGTTTGCTTTTGATTCAGTACTGAGAAAAAAGAGATGATTTACTTGTTCTGTTACTTCTGTTGTTTAGAAACAGACCTACATAATGTCATTAAACGTGGAAATATACTGAAAGATGTTCACAAGCAATATGTAATGTACCAGTTGTTCAAGTCCACCAAATACCTACACAGTGGCAATGTCATCCATAGGGATCTTAAGGCAAGATTTGACTTTTGAACTTTTGTAATATGGTTCAGTTTAATATTATGAAACATATATATATATAATATATATATATATACTTAAAGTTTTTTACTTTTCACTTAATGATTCTTTGAAGTATGAATTATATTTTTCTACAGCCATCCAATATATTGTTAGATAGTGAGTGTGTTGTCAAGTTGTGTGATTTTGGATTGGCCAGATCACTAACACAGATTTCCATGGATGAAGCAGGAGACCCAAATCTAACAGAATATGTTGCCACACGATGGTACAGAGCACCAGAAATATTGCTGGCATCCCACAGGTTAAAATTGCACACATTTTTCATATTTTTATAAATTTTCAGTACACATTTCTGTCTAATAATCTATTTTCTGAAATATAAATATATATATCTTATGTCTGCTTCAAGTACTATGTATAACACAATATGGTTTCAATGGTGTATAAAATTCAAACTGCTACATTAATCTTCATGTTCTCATAAAGTTTATGCCTGCAGTGTCTAATATTTTAAAAAATATTTTGGCTTCACAGTATTTTAATCCTGATTTTATCTTTTATTAAAAATTCTTCATTTTAGAAAGTAATATTTTAATAGTTTTTTTTATCTATCAATTCACACTTTTAAAACATTACAGGTACACAAAAGGAGTTGACATGTGGAGCCTTGGATGCATTTTAGGTGAAATGCTTCTGGGAAAGCCACTGTTTCCTGGTTCCTCAACACTTAACCAGATTGAAAGGATCATGGGCTCAATCCCTACACCCTCTAGAGCTGGTAAGTAGATAAATGAAATTTTCATTTACCACTGTAATGGGTAAGGGTTCAAATCAATTATGATACATGCAATAGTTTTTTTTTTAAATGCATAGATTTTATAGAAATGTTTTCATTTTAGGTCTATATGAATTTGATTGGAAATTTAATAAATACTTTGATTTTTAAGGAAAGTAAAAAAAAACCTCTAGAGTTTATAAATAGAAATAAAGCAAAGATATTCTTCTTGTAGGATATAATGAATGAGCACATGAATCATTGGATTTGAAGTCTGTAAATCACATTTTTATTCCCATGGAAATTTTTATGTCGAAGTTTCTTCCTTCTCTTAATTGTGGTTAAATTCATAGTAATGTAGATGCCATATCTACTTTCTTTTTCACAAATGTGGCATCTACATTGCTAAATTGCAATTGCATAGTGTAGAATATTATTTTTCTATGATAAAAATTATAAATGACACATTAATCATACAAAATTGGAAAATCACAGTTTGCTTGGGGTCAATTTTGCCCAGTGTTAGCTTTATGGGCTTGGTTGGGATATGGTAAGCTGCTGTTGGTTGTCCTTGTGTCTTGAATTCTCTGCCCTGAACCATATAATTACTTGTATTTCTTAAAAAGTTATTTGTATTAAAACCATCAATTTATTATTATGAAACTTTTAAATAAGTGGACTACAATGTTTTTAAAGCAATACAAATTTTAAATTATTAAGTATATAAAATTAATAATCTTGCAACAGATATTGACAGCCTGAAAACCTCATATGGAGCATCAGTTCTGGAAAAGGCGATATCTGCTGCTTCCAGGTCAGATGCATTTATAAATTAAAAGGAAGTCAACTGTATACCTGTCAAATTTAATAAAATGTGAAAATAATTTTTCATCTTTCAAAATGTTCCAGACTACTGGTAATGTGGTAGGCCTGTTAACAATCTGTTAAATTTATGGCATCTCTGACTTGGATTTCCACTGTCCATATTTAAATGTAGCATTATATTCCTGTTTTTTAACAACCACTGAGATTTTTTTCACTTTTAAACTTGTTTTTGACATTATGCATCAATTCACTTCTAACTGTATGAATTTAATTTGAAATATTCTTAAAACTTATGAGGCATCATTCAAATAACAATATAAATAACACACAATCACAAGCCAGCAATTAAAAGATTGCTAGCTAGATTTTAAAAAATATTTCAATAACATTGTTTTTGAAAAAGTTTAATGCACAACAGAGATTTTGTGTATGATGACATTGTGTAAAATTAGAAACAACATTTGAGGGAAGGGGCATCGAACCGAGCATCATGATAAAGATAAGGACAAATGAGTTTAAATTTTAAAAAATGAATAAAATCATTCAATAATAGAAAAAAGCATGCTATGAACAGACAAAGTTATATCCATAACTGCTGCATTTAACTTCTCAATAATTTTAACATTCAATTTTCAGGAGCCGGAAATCCTTTGATGACATGTTGTCTGATTCCCCTCCAGATGGTATTGATTTAATGAAGAAACTGCTGCATTTTAACCCTGACAAAAGAATCACTGCCGATGAAGCCCTTAGACATCCATTTGTTCAAAGGTATGCATAAAAATGTAGCGCTACATATTAATTTGTATTTAAAGTCCCTATATTTGTTTTCTTCCAGTTGATGATTGGTGAGAGAATTATAAAACTTAAATTAATTTTTTTTTAAAGCCAAAGTTTATGAAGTACACAATTACCACTATTATTTAAATATAGTCTATTTATGATTCCTGTTTTCTTCCATTAAATTAAAACTTATAAGATTTTTATTTGTTGTGTTAATATTATCTTAATATACCTGAACATCCTAAATTTTATAATTTTGAATAATTTATTTTCATGCCTCTGCTTTATATTTAATTCTGATACAAAAAACTAATTATTAGATATGTGGTTTAATTAAGGGGGCAGAAGGACAACTTTTAAAGAGAGTTTAAATTTCTTCAAATTATTTGTCTTGCTTTAAACAAATTGATAAACATTGCTATTATTTTTAACATTTTCATCCATTTTGCATTTGTTTTGATGGTCCTTGGTTGTTAAGCACTGGTTTGGAAAGTTTTGTAACTTATTGCAACACACTCATACATTTCAATGATATAATGTTACATATTATGGTAAATTATACTGTTTTAAAAAAAATCTATTTATTATTTTTAATTAAAACTGACACTAAATCTTGTTTTGCATTCATTGAAAATCCAGGGATCATAAAAAGAACAAAGATTGCTTGCATGCAAAAAATTATAACTGATTGAATTTACTGATATTAATAATAATTATTTGGGTTTTTCAATTTTTTTTTGGTGGTGTTTAAATTCTTTTTACTGGATTTGACTCTAAATGGTTTGTATGCATGCACAGATGTTAAAAATACCATTCATTAAAAATCCTGTTATATATTGAACACTTTAAATTCAAAGACAATCACATGATTTGGTTCCATTTAAAGAATTGTGTTTATTACAATTCTATTTAAAAAACAAACTGTTATTTACTGTGCCTTTAGAAATGTAAGAAAATCTTTGAATGTTTGCAGGTTTCATAACCCTGCAGGTGAGATGAGCCTTAATTTTGATGTAGTGCCTCCTCTCAGTGATGATGTCCAGCTTACAGTTGATGAATACAGAAGCAAGTTATATGAGGTGTGTGTTTTTCTCTTCACCCATGATAAATCCCATTTAAATAACTCTTCATACTGATAAAAATGGACGTTTTTGTAACTATTGTTGTAAACTTAACTACCAATGATTAAAAATAATACTAAAATTAAATTTTTCTCACAAATTGAAGACATCCCACAAATGTTTAGATGATATAAGTTCCATGTATTTATAATTATTATTAGAATTTACTAATCATTGGGAAAACAATAACTTCACACTGTTTTAAAATGATGGCAATGCAAACAAATAAAAAAAATGATAATAGGAAAAATAGTACCAACATGGTACATTGTTAAAGTGGATCTCAGAAAATTGGAATGAATTTTATATAAAACTGATTTGAGGTGAAGTTTACTCCAGTGTGGATGTATGTACACTCTAATTTGATTTAGATTTTTTCCAACTTACAGTATTAATAAAATCGGTGGATTTTAAAAAATTAAAAGCTATGAATTTCTTTATTCCTTTGAAAATGAAATGTTCATGCGTTTTACCATTACTGATGTGAGACTCATTCCAAAATGACAGATGATTATGCAGAAAAAAGCTGAACGAAGGAGGAGAAGACGAGAAGAGGCAAAAAGTGCTGCCTTACAGTCACAACACCAAGATGTTCCACTGGAAGACTATGCACAAGACCAAGCTACTGAGCCACCAGCTAAAGAAAATTTCCATTCCTCACCAAAACGTCCTTCACCCCAAACTGTTCACAAATATGGTCCCAATGGGGAGCAACTCATCAGTCATCAATCATCGTTTTCAGGTAAAGAAAAATATAGAGTGGATTGAGGCTTAATCAAATCAATTACTTGTAAATATATAATAAAACCCTTTTTTAATGTATATAGGTTAGATTAGTTTATTTTGTGCTCACTGATGGGTATGGGGCTCTCAACAAATGCAAATGTCTGCAAGAATTATGACTCTCATGGTATTAGTCTTAGAGCATTAACACAATTCATGTCTGAATATTATCATTAAAAAATATAAAAAGAGATATTTATGGTCACACCACCAGCCAATCTGCCCAGTCAGTATAATATATATTTTGTTTTCTTTATTAATAAGCCAAATTGTTAGTCTTGAACTAGAGTAATTTTTTGGGGAATGACAAACAAAAATAATTATAACTTTAATTTTATATCAGCTCTTCAGCAAATATTCTTGACATCTGTGCTGTGTTCTATCAGTTTCTAATTCAGTTTTAAATTTCTTACTGTTGCTTAAGACAATGGCCAAAAAAACAATACTTATTTCTATCATCTACTGCTGTAACAGCTGTCTACAGGTTCAGTTTTCTATTCTGCACCTGGTCTTAACAATGCTTTGTTTTGTGTTGAGGGCTTTCTTGGAAGTGACCTTGGCGGTATTTGAAAGGTGCAGCCAAGTGATAACCAGTATTGCGGCTACACAGGTTATGACACTTATTGTAACTCCTGATCAGCATCTCAGTTATTCATTGGGGATTGTCAGGAGAAGAATATTCTATGGATCTTTCAAAAACACATTTGATCTGAAGAAAAACATTTAGTTTCCCTTATGATGTGCTAGTGGTCTTACAGCCATCAATAAAGGGGAAAGACTCAAGACATTGTTTCTAAAGGTTCTGATCTATGTGTTGACACTCAGGTTGGTTCATTTGGAGATGGATGTCAGCATTTCAAATTTTAAAATGCCCCATTAGCTTTGCTGATCCTATGATTGATTTCCTTATTACAATCAACAGGGACTATAACTTTGCTCCCTACTGTTACAATGGGCAGTTGATGATAATGACAGTGTTATTTCCACTAATTGACATTGACTTTGAGGCCTATTGTACTGGCAGTCTCATTGTTTTTTCCTGGGTGTCTTGTTATATGCCAGACAGCAATCCTTTGTTTTTTTAAAGTCCTCAAGCATCGATGATATTCCTTACCTGTCCTTTCTTAGGTTTTAGTATAAGCCAAATATCAGGGAGTAGACTTAACAGGAAAATAATGTAAATTTTGTAATACAGCTTTACAGAATTCTCCTCTTTGAAAGTCTCTAAGTTCAAAGTTCTGATAATACTGACTAGTTTTTACTTAAATTATAAATGTGGTGCAGTAATATTTTATATTATCCGAACTTATTTATAGTGAAAATAACTAATAAATATATCTGTTAGATTTATTAAGTTTGTTTTTATATCCTTCAGCATTTGGTCGTACAACCAACTCAGATCATCTCTTACCTGTTCAACACAGACAAAAATCTTTGGGAAGACAAAAGAGTTATGAAAATATTCAGGCTTCACAATTAACAAATGGGGTAAAAATTAATTTAAATGTTATTTATTTCACATATACTAGGCATCCCCACTAAAAATTGATAAATCATTTAATAAATATGTTTTTTACAAAGTTTTACGACATGCAGTTAAAATTTATGCAGAGTGCTTTCACTTGCATTCCTTTCCCTATCTATACCAAAAATGGTGAAAATGTGGCCATATATTAGTATGATCTATCATCTGTATATTATGTGCTATTTTGCAAAAAATAGGAATATTTTTATACCCTGTCTCGCCCTGCTGCCCCTGTACATTTTTCGAAATTCCTCCATGTTTATGTATAATTGAAATTCTCAAATTTTCTTTGAGCTTTATTATAGACAGTTATGATTAACTGACAATTAAAGTAATTCACTGTAAATCGTGTTAAAAAAACTATATCACAGGCTTTCTCTCCTTTTTGTGATTGGGGCTGGCTGTTTAGCATAGCGAGTATCAAAGTAACTACATTGTATCTTTATTGAGTGAAAATCTTTGGTTCAGCTAACACAAGTTATTATGTCACTCATTATGATACATGCACAGAACCAAACTTGTATTGGAGTTAAGCTTTCAGTAGGATAAATAGATAATTCAGGAACATTACAGTGATATTTTTATTGCCATCTTATGGATTGTCGGACTAAATTCCAAATTTAAGGATAATTATGACGATTTTTTAAACATTTTAATAATTTTACTGTACATACACTTCCCTCCCCCATATGCACTTGTACACAGACTTTCCTAATTCAACCATGCCCTTCCTCCCTCCTGCTAAATAATAAATGTGGCATGATCTGTGTCATTACTATCATTTTTCTAAACAGATTATCAAGTATTGACATTTTAAATCAAGACATTGTGGTTGTTTAAGCAACAAGTGCTGGAGGAGGCATTCCTCTGCTATATTTCAGTTTTTTTTTATTATGCCAGGAAGAATCAAATCTAGTCATTACCAACAATAAAATTTAAATAAAAATTATTTTTTTTTAGCTGAAGCCAAAGTTTTAAGAACTCTATCAAGAGCTTGGGTTACAGAAGTTTCATTCTTTTATCCTGCTTTGTGAAAATATGTTGAAACTTTTCCCTTCATTTTCCAAATAATATTTGACTTCAGCAATAGTTTAGCTAGACAATGGGGAATAGCTGTATTTTATATCTAAATCTTTTTATTTCACAGGAAGTCAATTCTCAAGTTGCACAGAAAGGTAGACAAGCGTCTGCTCCTGCAGCTGTCCGAGGTCATGGACGATCATTGTCTGGAGTCCATCGAGCTCAAAGCAATCCAACCATCACTAGAGAAGAGAGAGGGGCTGGAGGTGGTGGGCTCATGGTGGCTAGCTCCAGAATGGTTGGTCTCCCTATTCAAACTTGGCATTATTTCTCATCACTTTTACTGTTACTTTGTCCTTGATGATATAAATACTTTTATTAAATAGAAAACTCTGAAGGACCCTACTTGTTCAATAATGAAAGTGTCTTTAACTACATTCATGTTCAGTTCATATTAAAAAAAAGAAAAGGAAAATCATTTTCCCCATTAATTTTCTAATTCATTTACTTTTTTAAAACAATACTCCAAGTGTATTTCCTTAAGCTTTTAATTTAGTTTATAAATTAAAAATGAAAAATCATTAAAGAAAGTGGTATAATGTTTATGAAATTATAATTGAGCAAGCAAAAGCTTTTTCAAAAGTGTAATTGCTTCATGCTCGACAATATTTGTCATTCAACATAAATATTGAAAACAAAATTAAATATGAAGTGAATTGTTCGAGAAGTTATCTCACATGTCCTCCATTTACCAAGACCGTGACAGATTTTATTGCATAAATCAAAGCTGACGAAGGGGCTTACGTTGAGAATGATTCAATTTTTAAAATAAGCCCTACTAAATATTTAATGATTACTCTTATTTTTTAAATGGCTTTCTACTAAAATTCCAGTAAATATTTTAAGTTAAAAAATTACCATATTTAGATAAATGTAAGCTATAAGGAAATGACAATCTTAACACAGAGTATTGAAATGTTTAACCTATGGTATAATAAACATAATATATAAAAATTAATTAAAAAAAGAATACTTTTATTTCATAGGTTCCTGGTCAGCGACCAATATCAGCCAGCAACTCGAAAACAAAACCAGCATTTGGACGTAAACAGTTCAACAATGCAGTCAATAATCCTAGCACAGGAGCTCCAAAATCTATCTTTGGCAGCTATTCACAAGCATACGGGACCATTTCTTCTAGTGGTCTTGCAGCTATCCAAGGTCGCAAGTCATGACTAGTAAAGCCGCAGCCAAATATACAAGACCAATTTCATTACTATGCAGATCCCACCCCTCCACTGCAAAGAAATATGGAGATTCCTTTTCATTATGCACCATCCCCACCTCTTAGACCTAAAGAGCTCTCACAGTATGGTTATTTTTCTCGAAAACCAATGGACTACCACCACTATTAATTTTAAATGGTTGCGGCTTAATTGAGAGAAGACTTTTTAAAAAGAACGGATCAACTTTTCCAAAAGATTATGAAAATTGTACAGTGCAATTTGTTACATTTCTTGCATATTTTTTCTAAATTTTTTTAGTCTCAATAGATAATAGATTCTTATCCCCTTACTAAATTATGTGCTGATCATAATTTAAAGAACACTTCTTCACTATGTATATAATAATAATATTAATAATTTGGATTGTTCAGCTCACACTGACAACTATCTGGATCTACATATTAAACAGTTTCTAATGATGGGCTTAGTTTTGAATTGAAATATTTTTAATTAATTTATGTCCAACCTCTCATTAAGAATTTTGGCCACTTTCAACTAACAAACAGTACAAATAAGAGAGTGATTTATTTAATTTTAATGTAAAAATACAGAAACCTGATAAAAAAAATTCAACACTGCTTTTGTTTTGATTGATTGTCAAAATAATTTTTATAAAAATATCGCATAATGCTCATGGCTGCATAGAAGTACTTGGAGCTCAAGTTTTGATAAATACACAACATAAAAAAACAACTTTAACACAGGAATATCACTATATTATTTAATCTTGGTAAGTTCAGAAGAGTATGAATTCAGGGACATTATATAACACACTTGGAATCATTCAGAATTAAGTTCTGAATACTTGCAACTTCTAAAGGCAAACAGCAAATATTTTTCATTGCTTTAGGTATCAATGTCACAAAACATACAATGCAACATAGTATTAAAATTATATACAAGTAGGGCTCAACATTGCCATTTTTCATGTAGACAAGACAGTTGTGAACATTTTTACAAGAAATGATAGACCTAAAAAGACAACAAATTAAACAGAAAAAGAGCAACACCACCATACCTCCCCTCAGTTTTTAAAATTAACGGCTTTTTGCATTAATTAAGATGAAACAAATGGAATCAATATCAAATGCATACTTTTACACTTTAGAATTAGCTCATTTATTGTTGATAAGCCACCACCTGTTTGGACACATATTAAATTTTACATAGACTTATGTAAAATCGAGAACACATCTCAATGTGAAAGATTAAAATGTTAAGATTAAGCTGTGTACCAAAGTAAAGCTCAGTGTTACCCAAAAAGACAGATTTACTATTTTATGGTATATTATATTTACAAACATATCGCCCATATGTTTAATAGAAAGCTGGTTAATACAAACTTAAAAAGAAAAATTCTTTTAAATTCTAAATTTAAAAAAAAAAAAATATTTTCAATTAGTCAAGGTTAACCATTGTAACTGTACATGCAGCTGTTTTAATTAAGCCTTTTATTTTTTAAATTGTTTATGAAAATTTATTTTAAAAAAAATATATATATTAAATTTTTACATTCTAGTATTTCTACTACTACTACTAGTGTATTACCTAACCGAAGTTGTTTTCATTTAAAGAAGGAAATAGTTATGTTCCCTCAAAGTTGTATTACATTTTTTACAATTTCGGTCATATTATTTTCACCTCCGGGGTAGAAGCAGAAAGAATAAAAAATTTTATTCAGCAAAATTATTTTGGGTTATGCTTCTACTTTGTGGGGGAATGGCACAGACTTTAGGCTCACCTTTTCTTTGCATATTTGGTCACATAAGATAGTTAAAATTAAATAATAAAGTTTGAATTAAAATTTTCTTTACAATCTAAATAAGAGCATCACCTTAAGGTATATTGTTCATAAGTGTTACATTTAACTATCTGAAGGACCCTATGCGGTCTGCAAGTTGGGAAAATCTGTAGTAGGTTTATGTTTTAAATTAAAGTTCTGGTAGGCTACTTGGTATTTTAATGCTAGCACTTATATACACTCATCAAATGATAACATGTGTTAAAATGCATTTTGACTTTATCAAACAAAAGATTACAAAAGCAAAATTGATTATTTGCATTTTAACATTTGATGTGTTTGCCAAGTCTCTTCATGTCCGATGACCTGCTCATTGTTGATGGACACATGAAGACCTACATTCCTTTTGGGGATAAAGGAGCCTTCCTTTGCTTGCTTGACACTTTCAATACTTCTTTCATGTTATGTGCAACTGTAAAAAGATAACATGCGTTAATCTGTTACCATGCAAGTGTCATTACATCTTGTTACAATCTTCATATGTTAAGACCTTGACTTTTTACGAACTCACACTGTATGCTAAAAGGCACTATGTTGGCTAAATTTCTCTTAGGGTTTTTCTGCCACATATGGTCTCTTTATTATTAGAAAAGTGATACACTGTCCGATTTCTTTCTACTTTATTCACAAATTGCACAAAAGGTATAATAGTGCACAACTCCACGGAACACATAACAATAACTTTATGACCGTTTAACTCTCAGATGACTAATCCTCTAGTCTGAGTTCACGACACGAAACACTTAGGAACACTGCCCTCAACCTAACTTAACACACTCCCTTAAAACTCTCTCCACAACGAACACTTAGCATACACTAAAAACTCAACTCCACAAACTAATCCTACGATCTGACCTTGCACATCTCCAACTCGCAAAACCCTCTCACGATCAACCAAACATTCACTCTTCTAAATCTAGTTCATAACAAATATTCACTCTCCTAAATCTAGTTCACAACATAACTGTCATCTACCATTTCCCATTTATTAAAAACTTCTCCAATATTCTCAAAATGAAGCAAATGTAATAATTTGCTGCATGCTCATTTATTACAATACTGATAACATGAAAGAAAAAATACTATGAAGAAAATTTACAGTATAACTACACTGTCATTAAAATATAAGGATGGTAATCATAAATATTGACATATTTTCAACCAATGACTTCAAAGATTTAGGAAATTCTGAATCAAAAAGATTTAGTTCTTATTAGGTTAAGCTCAATCTGGTTGTGTTTATTTAAAGCTGAGTATATAGCTCTCATTAAAGAGAGGAGGATCTGTTATTGTTTTTTTTTATGGAAAGAGCAGGAAAAATTACAGGAATAAAAAAAACCTTGGAAGGCTAATATTTAAAACTGCTGTTATAGAAATATTAATGTGTTTTGTATTTTAACAGATTATTAAATGGACACAAGACTTGGAAAAAAAACACCCAACTTACTTGCTGTTGCATGCGGGTAATAATACTTGTAGCCTCCCGTCTTTTTGTACATCACATTTCTCATGACACTGCCATTATGATCTGAAATTTAAATAAAATAATCCTTTATAATAAGTCTCACCTTCTGCCATAGAAGTCAACTAATAGCCATTTTTAAATGATGAATTTTTTCAGAAACATAAATTGTTAAAAATTCTTAGAAAGGTAGCATAAAATAGCTAAAAATTGAATCCATCTAACATTATTATTATTAATTTTATGAAAAAACAGAGATATGTCTTTTCTTGATAAAGCTCACGTTTACTAGGAGAGTTAACCTGTAGTATTTGAGTTAATTTGACACCTGTTAAAAATTATATTCAGTTAACTACTATTCTAAAACAATGTTCTGTCCTAAATAATTCCTAATCTATTATGATTACCAACCAGTACCTCAGCATTTGCTCCACTCTCCTTGGAATTGGATATATGTCTTCATATGTCATAAATTGTAACATTATTTATACTTAGGAGATTTAATTATGTTTTTAAAAATATTTTTAAAATTTAGAACTAAGCAAAAAGGGGCCATCCATAAATTGATAAGACACAATAATACAAAAAAATTGTACTTTAAAAAATTGAGAAAATGAAAGGCATTGGTATTTACACTCTCTGCATGAACAACACAAAATTATTTCAGTCAGATTTACCTAAAAACACAACTCTAGGATAATAGGTTCCATCCGGCTGTAGATCGATTCCCTTTGGTTCATCATCATCCTAAACAAATTATTTATTATGATACAAATCAAGAGACATCTTCAAGAAAGATATAATTTTTAGATAGTGTGGTTAGAGCAATATCAGAACAATTTTAATTTTAAGTAACATATTTTACATTATTGTTAATTATACACGCATAATGCAGCAATTCTAATCCAGTGGCACATGAAATTTCTATAAGGGATATGCAAACTATTTAAAAGTCATTACCATAACACAAGGGTGACATGATATTTAGTGAAACCCAGAGGTCAAATAATTGAAACAGGTTGAAAAAATATGAAGAGAAACTTGGAGGAGGCCAAACAAAAGGACACATGGGTGTTGTACCAGACTATTTGATAGCTTAAGGATACATGTATGTTGCACCAGGCTATTTGACAGCTTAAAGGACACAATGGACAGAACTGAAACATTTCCACAGAAAGAAGAGAATAGTAATATCATTTCCGAGTCAAGGGTAAAATTTAATAGATGAAGGCGACATTCTGAAAAGATTTTAGTCTACACCAAACACCCAGCACTTATTACCATCTCTGAGGCTGAGGAGCACCTAAATATTGATTTATGTACTAGTATATGGGAGTCATACTCAAAATGAAAAATGGCAAGGCACAGGACATAATGTAAAAGATACTGCAATTGCAATATATTTGTAGAGCATAAGTGATCCAAATTACTATGAATATCTTAACCATCATCAAACTGCCCCCAAAAAATGAATGTTATGTGACTGCAGCAACTGGCAAAGCATCACTCTCTTATCACTGAACCTTTCAAAGTTGAGACTGAAGTAAAACATGGCTGCATTCTCTCGCTGATCCTCTTGTCACTATCTATTGATTGGCTGATGTGACAAAATACATAAGGAATGGATGCTGTAGTCCGTGCTTGTTGGTATAAAATGCCCAGAAATTAACTGAAAATTCAAGTACCTTAAAGTCAATGCCAGGAAAACCCAGGTGATGATAAAAAAAAAAAAATAGCAGAGAACAAAATCATTGTGAACCCACTGGAAGATGTGTCAGAGTTTTGGTTTAAGAGCAAGTTCACAACTGATGGTGACTGTAACAAAGAAATCAAGCAAGGATCAGCAGGCAAAACAGGCGCTTGAAGTGTTGACATCAATATAGAGATGAAGCAACCTGAACATCAACAGAGTTTTTTAAAATTTAACTACCGAGTGTTCACCATGGTTTTGAGAGCTGAAAGACCACTATAGGAATATCATAATACCAGCTGTAAGTTTTCCAGACCATTGCCTAAAATTGATCCATGAAAACTTTAGGCATGCCTGCATGTGCTAAATAATCATGAAGGAAAATATGAGAACTAGTGAACTTCTCCACCACATTTCCTTCTGTGTATAAAATTAGTTTCAAGTTCTTTTTCACAATATTGACAATATCCATCTTCTTGTGATTAAAGGAGTAAAAGTACTTTGAACCTTTTCAAAAACTTTCAAATTCTGTTAAAATCAAAATACGATTGAATTTAACTAAGATTATTTACAGCATGAATGTTTAATTACTTATTTCTTTCTGTTATCATTTAGTTTGTCCATGTAAACTCTTATTTTCAAATTAAAACTACTTCTGTTAAAGACAAAACATAACAGGTACTGGAACAGAATCAACATTTTAATACAAATTAATCATTCAATCATTTTATTATATTTATACCCTTCTTTGAAAATCAGTCGCTTTTACAAAACATTTAATCGTCTCAATATTCATGTACATAAAATAATGCTAGTAGCCATAATATATAATGCTAAAATTAGTTTCTCTTTAGATTCACCTAGACAGGTTAGTCAAGTCAGGTTAGTAGATGATATAACAAAATCCCAACTTGTCTGTTTTTAAATTAAATTAAATAAGTAAGAATAAAGAATTCAACTTTAAAACTGACCTCTAGGTTTATCATAATAAAGTCATTGCTCATTTTTTCAATTTCTTTATTGCTGGCAAATTGTGGTCTCAGTGCTGTAAAAAAATATATTTTTAAATAATTTTCTAAAAAAATTAACTCATGAATTTATTTTTTATTTTGGCTGTCCCAAATAAAAAGGAATCTTAAATAAATCTCCCCCCACCCCTTTACTAATTTGAGGGCCCACAATAATCAATTTATTGATCATTCTGGCTCCTGGTTTGAATTCAGAGTTTCTCTTCTCTTAGATAAGTTGCTGTCCAAGGCTAACGAGTCCCATCCACCCATAAAAATGCCCATATGGTTAGAGGAAATTAAAGCACAAAAAATTTTTTTACAATCATTTAACTCATTAAAAAAACACATTGGAATATTGCTGAACCTGAATTAAAATTATTTGTTACAATATTATTCTTTTTTTTAAAATCAGTTTTATTATTATTATGCACTTAATTAATAGCCTGGTAATTTAATTTAATTTGACAGCGAATTAAAACTTACACTGGAATTAATTAAATTTCAGATAAAATAAATAAAACTAAAACAGATTATAAATGGTATGTAAGAATGAAATAAAATTAAAAAAGAAATAGACATGAAAAAAAAACTGTAACAATCCATATATAATTTTTTAAAGTTAAATATACCTTACTTAATAAAGTATTTTATATTCGATTAAATTGTTAGTAAAGAGTTAATGAACACATTAAAAAAAAAAAAACAACAAGAAAAACTAACCTTTGCAAGCTCTACACCATGTTTTTGTGATCACCACCATCGCAGGTTTCTTTCTAGTTAAATAAAAGAAAAGGTAACTGAATATTTCGTAAAATATTATTCTATATATTAACTAGAGCCCTTAGGAGTATATGCTGGGGCTGGATTTAATTAGTGGATGCTGAGTTCTTAATTTTCAAGAGTATTCAACCCTGAACTCAACAAAAAAATATGCAGAGAAGTTTCATTTGTAGTTTGATGTATTAATCCCACTGAATACATCTGCCACTGCTTGAATAAGGATAAAGTAATTAATGATTAGGGCTATAGTTTAATAAAGTGATGAAAGTTATTACTAAAGATTTAATTCAAAAAACTGTTTCACAAAAATATCAAAATAACTTATTTTATATCAAACACCTCCAAAGTAGCAAAGGACTGAACTTGTGATTAACAAGACTAAGTTAATTTTGATTCCAATAAATAATATTTTCTTAATACTTTTAAGCTACTGAACTTACTGTTCTCTTGCAAGTTTTTGACCTTCTTTTAAAGAGACCCATCGAATATTTCTCCCCCAACCTGGAACATATTAAAATGTTTCACAGAACTAATTTAGGCTATAGTTGGCAGAATCTATCAAGGCTCTGATCAGAAGAGTAGGCCTATAATTAGTATAATATACATGAAAATTCCATGTAAAGAAAATTAAATACAATTCAGATTATGAAATTACAATTCACTGAGCAACATAAAACAAAGATTATTTTGTTTCAAAAAATAGATTAAATAAGTATATTTCTGCTTCACCACCCTCACTGCAAAACATTTTTTCTATACTCCTATTATACTATAAGTATAGCTATGTGGGTTAAATTGAGTTTCCCTTCCAAATCCTTTAAGGTGTTAAAGAATGTTTAGCAGACTTAAATATTTAGTTATTTTAGTCATAATTAAAATTAATATGGTACACATGGAGCTAATGACAATTTATGGTCATGGATTGTTACAGAAAAATCTGTTATTTGTTATTCATTTATGAATGTTTTCTCTATGAGTTTTTAAATCAGTTCAGACTTCAGATGAACCCTGACTGTTGGGAACGGCTGATCAACACTAAACTAAAAATACAAACACTAGACTATATACATTCATCTATTCATCACTTCAGACAGTTTGACACTAGCCTGCATTTGACATTTTTAACACTTGAAGTTTAAGGAAAGTACTGTGTGTAAGTTAAGTGTAAGTTTAACGTAAACTCCTTCCTTACTATGTCCATTTGAAGTATTATTGCATATGACATAATCAATATTAAACAAATTTCAGTCAAGTATAACGAGCGGTTTAAGTTTAAGTTTAGTATTAAAATTTAATATCAGCCCACCCACCTTCGCAGGTGTGTTTTTACTTTTATAATTAAATCGTTACGAAATAAATGTTGTTTTTTTTTAGGACGACGTCAATATTATCTTTGTTGATAATGATATAAATAATATTTTATTAAGTTAAGTTAACGTGGGTTATGGTTATAGTAGTTATAGTCATATAGTTATAGGTCTACTTACTTTCTGCGGCTGCCGCTACCGTTCCTAAGATAGAGGACGTTGCGAACATGAAAAATGGTGCCATTACGAAGTGGGTGATGATGTTAAAACTTATAATGTTAATGCGATAAAGCAAAATTTGTCTTCTTTTTTCTTTTGTTTTTTGTGTGTGTGCAAGTTGCTAAGAATTGCACATGCGCCTATAAGACCGTGGATGTTGTCATACGTCATAGTGACGTCACTTTCCTACAGCGTTTCTCAAGTCTTATATTACTATAATATTTTTTTCGCGATTAGTGTAGGGTCTACTATGCATAAAATGGACCGCATTGATTTAAATACATTAATATGCAAACTATTTTAATCATACAACATACGATTTCTTAAAATTAAATAATGCCGTTACATGTAATATTAACAGCAGTCACCACACGGCCCCTGCAACCCTGCGGCTAAGGCTAAGGGTCCAAAGTTTGGACGTACTAAGGAAACAAATTTATTTTGAATGCATAAAAGTGGGGGGGGGGGCTCAGAACCGATATATGGCAGGTGCCCTCCATAATTCACGCTACGGCTCTGATTATCAGAAGTAACAGTAACTGGACTAATAGTATGTCGAAAAGGTGATCTTCAAATAAACACACTAATACCTCCCAACAAACGGGCTAAGAGTAGAGTCTACGCCCTACGCATGCGCAGTGTTTATTTAGCGCGAAATAATACAAAAATAAAACAACAATCTTCATTAAACTTTCAATAGGCAAGATTTTAATCTCCATTCTGGGCGTTTCCCATGATTTAAATTAAAAACCTTATCTGAAATGGAAACTATAACTTTGTTCACATATTTTTTTTATTCGAAACAATTTTTTAGGTTGTTTTTGTCCAATAAAAATATAGCTAGTGGCATCGTAATAATAATACTAATAATTAGTGGTCTTTTAAAGCGTATCAAAAGAGACATAATTATGACATTAAAATAAAATACAATTATGAAGTAAAGAACAGCATGAACCCCAGGACTTTTACAATGAAAACCATGGACGGCAGCCAACAAGATCATTTATCGGTCAGAGGAGGGGAATCAGTCAGGGTAGTATAGTTTAAAGATGTCTTTTTTTGTTTGTTTTTGTTTAAAAAGTCATATGGTGATGCGGGCCCCACCGAGTGACTCCCAGGTCTACAACTCAATTTGTCAATAAAATAAAATAGCAGACAAATATTCTAAATCTCCACATATTTTACGGAGACAAAAAAGCGTTAGGACTCATTTTTAAAGTTATATTTTTCAAGATATGACGCTAAAAATTTAAATCTCCTTACAACTATATTTTGACGATGATACATGAGCCTATTTTTAAGCTTACTGTACGACATTTTCACCAGTTTTCTCTTCATTACGAATATAACGCTTTAAAAAATGTTTGTAAGCTTATGGCGACTCATTTTTAACGGACATTCATGAACAAGAAAACTTAGGTCAAAACTTTAAGGACTGTTGGTAAATGTACGGATGGTTGGCCACCCTGGTTACACAAAATAAAAAAAAAACTAGCAAATTTGACAAACCTCGCTTGAGTCAGTTTCATAATATCTAAGTTAAATAATAATAATAATAATATTAATAAAGTGTATTTTAAAAACACGCTTCATCCCCAAAGGCTCGAAGCGCGGTACAAGAGTAAAAAAAATCTATAATTTACCACATTTAAAACAAACGCAACACTACAAAAACTAATTACAAGCATACAATGTCAAAGTCTTTCTAGCCATTTCAACCATAAGCAACACAGCTAATATGCATTAAATGGAAAACATGGTAGACAATCATCCCAGAAGGTGTTTGCGAAATAAATGTGTCTTTAAATCGGTTTTAAAGGACTCCAATGTCTGATTGTTTCTGAGATCGACTGGAAGGGCGTTCCAAATTGTTTTACCAGCAAATGCGAAAGTGCGCTTTCCGCAAGTCTCAAGGCGAACACGTGGTGTGGAGAGTTTGCCACTGTCGGATGAGCGGAGCTCTCTACTGGGTACATAAGGCGTCAGCAGCTCTTTCAGATAGGATGGCGCCAGGCCATGTAAACAGCGGTAGCACAAAGTTGCGATTTTGTACTCAATGCGAGCACGCACCGGCAGCCAATGCAACTCTCTCAGAAGTGTTTTTGCATGGTCGAACTTGCTTTTGCGGAGAACAATTCGAGCCGCATTATTCTGTGCTATCTGAATTTTATCCAGGAGCGTAGCTGGAAGACCCAACATGAGAGCATTGCAATAGCCCATGCGTGATAGCACAAATGCAGACATCAACCTCTTTGTTGCATCAATTGTTAGGAAGGGCCTGATGTGACCTATCCTGCGCAGCTCTAGAAAAATACAAGACCAGAATGCCACCAGAACCGAGTGCTTTAAGAATGTGTTGCCACAAGAGTAGGCTGCCGCCAGAGCAGTGATGTCCAAATGGTGGCCCGTAAGCTGACTTTGAATGGCCCGCCAAAGCTTGAGAAATGGACAAATTGTAACATGGCAAAGGGAAGAGGTAACAAAAGCAAAGGATTGGGATTGCGTCATAGGTATCAATAATATTTGTTAAGACACCAGCAGAGTAATTATTATTTTTTTTTTAAAAACCAATGCCAATTTTTGGGTACGGTACTTGTAAAAAAAAAAATAATAAAAATGTAAAACTCCAGTGATTTTTATGGAAAGGGGTTGGGGGAACGGGTTAAATATGTGTAGCCTATCTGAAGAAATTTGTTGTACTTTTAAATCCAAAGAAATCTCTCAATTTACTGATTTAAAAAAATAAATAAATTTGAAAGTTGTTGGCTACAGTTTATATATAGCCTAATCTTTTAAAAAGATATACTTTTCTATTTACAGCTGCATATATGTTGCGTTGCAGCCGGAATAATATTTCGACATGTTATAACCAAGTTTCCAATCCATTTTTACACATGTAACTGAATCGAGTTTTGATGAACTATATCTTCAAACAGAAAATACGACATATTTCAGCGTCATTTTACTGTATACTTAGAAATAGGTAATTCGATATTCGTTAATTTAAAAAAAGAAAAACTATAGCCTATATTGAATTATTTACTATTGTCACATCATTGGGTTTTGAGAATTATTTTCTTCTAAATAATGTAGGCCAACCAAACCATTTTTCAGGCCTCCTAAATGTTCTAAAAAAAAAAACAAAAACAAAAACAAACAACAACAACAAACAAACAAACAAACAAACTAACATGTCCTTAACTTAAATACCGGGTTTATATATTTTGTGTGTGTGTGTCTGTGTGTTCCATTTTAAATATCATTAGCGTTAACAGATTAAAATTTGCTCAACCTCTGCTTCGCTCCTGAACTATATTATCGGCTAATCGTTAAAAGATAATTTTTATAGTTCAAAAGGAATGTCTTATGCAATTTTCAAGCCTAAAAGTCTTTTTAGAAATATTATTTATCTTATAAAAAATTCAAACGCCCCTAAACTGAGTTTTGCGCAAAAACAAATAATTCCAATGAAAATCGTAACCCTTACTTTTTCACATCTTTCTGAATAGTATTTTTGGGTTATCATTTTGAAAAAAAATATCTTTTAAAAAAAAAAAAAAAAAAAAATTTATTTTCACGTCTGAAAATGTTTGGGTTTTTAGATTTTGTTCATTGTTATCACACAAAAATTGGTCAAACTTCGTCGAATGACAAGTTTAGGGCTTTTGTTTTTCCTCGTACCTTGTCTCTTGCTAATTCTTATCTTGTTTTGTTGTAGAGATACAGCCAAAAAACAAAAATAAAAAAATTATAATAATAATTTTTCGTTTATATCATGTTTCAAATCACTCTTATTGTCACTATTTTAAGTAAAATAAATGACTAGGTGATTTTCAGACTGTAATTTTAATCTTGCTTACTTTCCTAATAAAATGAATAGGCCAGTCAGGGGCTTATTGAGAAACTCACTCTGTCCACTTCTATCTTGATTGTAACATTTCGTTCACAAACTTTGAAAGATTCATATCTAATGGTTATTGAATTATCGCATCTGTGCCAGAAACAACCATCACTATCTTTTTAAATTATATTATTTAAATATTAATTATTATTATTATTTTAAAATAAAGAAGAGGTTCACAAACTGTGCCATGTGAAGCCGCGGAGCCTTACATGGGCCCAACGGGTGTAAAAAAAAAAATCATTAAAAAAAAAATCGCTTCTTAGAATTTGAAGAAATTTGACTTAATGCGCCTTGATAAAACCTGGATGCAGCAAAGGTGCATGACTCGAAAATGTGTGGGTATCCCTGCCCAACTAGAACTTTACTAAGGACACTGTCTCAGGTTAACTATCTCTCGCTCTTTCTCATTTCACGAGGCTCCCGTCCTACAAGCGATCATGTAGGGCCTAATCATGCAACTTGATGATCGCACCAGACTGGTGGCCATGAACTTACCCGTGAAGGTCTTCCAGCTTTCTACAGTAAGCCTTTTGATCCCCTCAGCCCCTCAGTAATATGACGGTGATCATGGTTTAAAAATGAAAACTCTGAATAAAAGACAATCATTTAACAATCAACATCCACAAACCGCAAATAATGAAACATTTAATAATTAAAATTGGCGCTTAAAATAAATTATGGTAAAAAGTATCTGGAGTCCGGAAAGCAATGGCGACCGCAATGTGTGAACTTCCCTCTCTACTTACCATGTAGATGTTTTGTCAACCTAGGTTACTTGACAAAACATGCATCCAAGAAACGCACTTTATAAGATTCCCAATAAATGCATCCCCTCCCTTGTACGCCACCGCCCTTGAAATATATTTATATTCTAAAGTCCCCGCCCTATTAATTTTTATTTAGTAAATCAGCCCAACTGGAAGAAGCGTTAGTTTTTTTTTTGTTACATACAGAATTATATGTTTTGATTACTGAACTGTAATTTAGTCCAGGTGTTTCAATAAGTTTCGTTTTTTAAAAAGTGATTTCACACCACTTAGCGGTTAGCGCCCCATCCCCGTCTTCAAACAACGCCACAAGAAAATTGTGGGACCCCCCCCCCCCCCCACACTTTTTCCAGCTACATGACGTCATATTTGGATGGTCCCAACGACGATGTTGACGCTCCCATGAATTTGGCAGTCGGGGCGAGTGCCCCCCTACTACGACCCTGCTTCCATTTACGGCCATTATTGCAGTAATACTATAATTTATAGTCACCATATGACCAATTTGAAAAAAAATCAAACTGTCCTTGAGATTTTTTTTAAAAAAAAGCAACACCCAAATTACGGTTTAAGATTAAAAATACGTGATTCAAGTAGACCTTAATAGTTTCAGATAGTTTTTGATTGGTTGGATTATGACACGCCTTTGACCTTGATATAATTGTAAGGTGGTTTGGCATTAGTTTTTTTATTTTTACAAACAAATACAATTAAATTTAGGAAAAAAGTAATGCTTTAATTTGCCAGTTTAAAAGGTTAATATTGCCAAAACCGCATATTAAAATAGTAAGTATAATTTATTATAATATCCAGATTATGTTTACTAAAAAAACTTTTTAAAGCCATATTAAAATAAATTTGCGCATGCGCACACATCACAATAAATGCACGTTACTCGATGTAAACAATAACAAAACCTTGATCTTGTCTAATATTTAGTAAAAAAACCGGACAGTGATTGTGCTCCATTTGTCCTATTACCACAGAGGGATTACAGATATTCAGACATAAATCGCTGAACATTATAAAATGGGAACAAAGCTTTTATCTGTATGGAACAGGATAAATGTTCTGAAAACATCGTCGACTGTCAGCCAACTGATTTGTACATATGGTGCAGCTTTAGGTCAATTTTCACATAGATGTGCATACAATACATTAAAGAAATCAACTCAGTGTGCATCATCATATTCCTCACAAATTTTAAAGGCTAGAAAACCGGTTTTTTCATTTGTTAACACATCTGAAAAAAATCAATACGCACAATATTCATTATTAGGAACTTTGAGTTTGAGTGTTAAAGACAAATCTGCGTATTGCAGTGATAAGAAGAGTATTTCAAGCATGTCATTCGGCGAGGACATTCTATTTCGACAGGTAGGCCTAAATAATAATAGCAAATATGCAAAGACAATGAAATAATATTTAAAAATCCTTTAAATACTTTAAAACTGTTTAATCCTGTCCTGTACTGAAATTAGTAATTACAACGTGGACAATGAGTTACTAAATAGGTTAGTAAACTAAGAAGTAGTCTGCCAGTAGTAAAAATAGTGGCTAAATATTTACCAAAATAGTAAATAAAAAAAAATATGTTTCACAGTGACTGTGCATGACACAATGATAATGACATAGGCTACTTAACTTTTTGATTTTGGCAAGAAACTGAAACAGCCTACATTACAACTACTAGTTATTTTTAAAAAAAAGTTATGCAGATATTTGATTTATTTGTTGGCCTTCATTTATTTTTTACTATAGACCTCTCTTCACAAAGTGTGATATCTTACAGGCACATAAAATTCTGAATTTTCTTATTTGAATTAGAGGTTATTTTTTTCATTTTAACTCTGTTCCCTTGGACTTGATAATTCAGAAAGAGTGCTAACAACACAACTTTATAATCATCTATATCAGGGATGTCCAACCCCGCAGCCCTCTTGCCTGGGCCACTGTTTATGAATGTGGCCAAACTACAAACTTTATGAGATCGCCACTAAAAATATTGTTAACAAATATAATATTAATAGAGAAATGCCTCCTCTTGTGACATTAAAACACACATCTAATTGATGAGATTTTTAGGAAACAGTGAAGAATAATTTAAAGTAATTTTCTTTGTCCATTGTTAAAATATCTGGTATAGCTACTAATTGTGCATAGGCTATGATAAGGAAAAAAAAAAAGATGTTCTTTTAAAATTAATAGAGAGCAATGCAATTGCCTTTCAAAACTTTTTAATAAATTTGCAACTCCTTTTTCAGTCAACCTAAACACAGAATGCATAGAGTTATGATCTGACATTTAACTTGACTTTTTTATCATGTCTCTTTATTTGACATCTTCCGCATAAAAAAATATCACTTGCATCATAATTTTGATCCACAAAAAAAAATGTGATCATCATACTTATTTCACTTTACTGAACAAATAAATGAATTTATGAATTTTAAATTACTTAAATATGTTAAGCATAATATTCTACGTTTTTGTGCTCATCAGCTATTGTTAGTTTTGTTCATGTATTTTATAAGTAGCCCAAATCAAACTGTCTCCTTGGAATTTGTCCCAGGGAGAATAAAAGTTTTTACACCCCTGGACATCTATAAAGGCCTATTAAGCTACTAATATGAAAAAATAATAATTATATTTTAATATTTTTCAAAATTAGGTAAAATGTAAGCCAATGTTAAGGTCTAATAACAATTTTTACAATAATCTTCTATAGTAAGAAATGAGGTTACATGGATAATTTAACCCAAGTTGGGTAAGAAAAGAAACTTTTTAAGAGCAAAAGTTTTAATTAATAAATAACACAAAATTTACTCCTATTATAATTAAAATAGTAAAGGGAATCTTTATCTAGGCCAATGTTTCCAACCTGTGCTCCCTGGAGCCCTAAGAATCAGAGTGCAGTTCTAGGGCCTTCACAACCGCTTCAATAAATGAAATAACATTATCAACTTGTAAGAGCCGTAAAACATAGGAAGGTCTAAGGCAGGGGTCTCAAACTCAAATCATCCGGGGGCTGCAGGAGGTAGAGTATGAGTTAGACTGGCCGCATCAAGTATTCCACAAAAAAGTGATAACAAATTTTAAAAAGTACAACTGTTACAATCTGCTCAACCTTTATTTAAAATAAATAAAAACATCAAGGGTTTTCAAGAACTAGGCTTCACTTTATTTTTCCTATTCCTTGTTGCCAGAGACCTGGCAGCACTTCTTCTTACACAGCTGAGCAACATTTGGCTTGAGTGAGGAAGCAACCGAGGCTCCCTTGTTGTATAGCTTGAAGATGCTCATCAATAAGTTTGGCCCTGAACTTTAACTTGTTAAAGTTCATAGTGGAAAAGAGCTTTTCACACAGATAGGTTCTCCCAATAAAAGGCACATGATCCGCTTGAACAACCTGGAACTCTCAGGGAAAGTGGTGGGAAATGCTCTCATAAATTGTCGAACCTTGTCTGTTTTTCCATTCACCTCCCTGAACTTAGAATTGCACTGAAGATCAATCAGCTCCATTTGAAGCGCAAAGAGGTGGGTGGTAGGCATCTTCCACATTAAAGGAGAAAGGGTCAGCAAAAAGTTGAAAAGTGACTGTGTGTTTTTTGAAGTCTAGAAACATCTTATCAACTTCTTCCTGTAGCGTTGTAATGGCATCAATATACTTACTACTGAATGGTGTGCTCGAATCCATGAGTATTTTGCATATTGAGAGACGGCAGAGGTTTCTCTAAGAACCATAATACAAGTTTTGTGCAGAATGCCCTGACATTGTCATAGGCAACACTGACAAGCTACTCCTAGTCTTGTAACTTCTTGTTGAGTACATTCAGCTCCTGTGTAATGTCAGCAAGAATAGCCAAGTCCATGAGCCATTAGGGATCACTTAGTACAGGAACAACAACCCCATTCTTCTCCATGAAAGCTTTAAATGCTAAAACATGTGCAAACAGTAGGCATGAGCAGGCAATATTTATAAATTATTTATGCAAAAGAAGATGATATTGTAAGGAGAATGAATTTTGATTTTTTTTTTATCGTATAAAGGCCTTTTTGACTAACCCTATTTTGAAAGTGGCCAAGCTGACAGGCTTGGAACTTTCCTCACTCATAAACAGTGGCTGCAATTTTAAAGGGATTGTTTGATAATGCATCAGATTGCTACGATTTACACAATTATGGTTATGCATTACCCACCAACTGACTTTTTAATACTTTTTACAAAACTGAACATTGGCCATGTTTGTCTCATAAAATGCTATAAAATAATAACTTTTAGTCTTATTTTAAAACGGTTTTTACCATTATAATCAACATACAAATTCTCACAAACATAATAAAAATCAGAATTAGACTAGTAGGTGAAATTCGACTGAAACCATCACGGAGGGTCACATTATAGATATGAGAATGGGGAAAACATGCGGATCACATTAACACTAAACTTTACTGTCATGTAGCAGGCCGTAATATATCGTCTTGCGGGCCTGCAAATGGCCTGCAGGCCGCGAGTTTGACACTCCTGGTCTGAGGATCGCCCCCATAGAAATTGATTCTAAAAAGCACTCAGCCAGTCACAATGGTTGAGAAACACTGGTCTTGGTGATGTGTTTTAATCATCTTCACGATGTTAAATGAGGCTAGATCGTAAATTGAGGTTTCTGGAAGCATGATATATTTGATCTTGCACATAAACCGCAGCTCTATTGCATTTTGTTTGGTACCAGTACCAATAATAATACTTACAGGTTTTGTTGTTTTTGATACGATAACAACTTTCAACAGCAAAGGGAAGATGGTGTTTAGTTAAAGAGATTTTACTTTTAATAGTTAATGATCCATAATGCATTGATTAAAACATTGTGCGTGAAGAATTGATTAAAAAGGCAAACACCCATCTTTGCAAAAAAGAATTTTCCTCTACCGCCAATGAACATAGAAATAGTTTGAACCCCAAAGATAGTTTTCAAATTGCTCTGACTTTAAAAAAAAAAAAGCTTTAATTTTGATTTTGTTATTGTATAACTTATACTAGTATCAAGATAAAAATATCACTAAAGCCTGAAGTAATAAAAGGTATTGAATGAATTTATTTTTAACTAATGAGATTTTTTATTAATTTGTATTGAATACTTTGTTTGTTTCAATCACTGGTTACTTCTGAGATCACATTTTTTTTGCTTTTTTTGTTAATAAATTAAATGTATATTTTATAAAGTTGTCATTTCCTTATCAGCTTTTAGAATACAAATCATACACTTACACATACCTTCTTGCGGATGTAGCTACAAATGAAGCAGTTCTTATTGATCCCGTCATTGACACCGTGGACAGAGATGTTCGGCTGGTGTTTGAACTTGGCCTCAACCTTTTATATGCTGGTAATTTTTTGTAATGTTAAAAAAAATTATTTTGTTTAGTTGCCTTCTTTAAAGAGGTTGTCTAAAGAAATGTGTGAGAAAAGTTGGCAACAGTAACACAAATACAAGTATAATTATTATTAAAAGAAATCTCAAGAAATGAATCATTAAAAGACACATTATTTCTCTCTGTGATTAACTAAATCTTCTTCATTTTCCAAACATTGCCAGAATTTCAATAATTTCTTGTTCTTTCTATGTAGATCATTGTGCAAAAGAACACATTTTACTTTAATATTAACCACAAACTAGCAACATTTTCTCCATGACCATTTTTTTCAGTCATCAAATTTTCCCCTTCAAAGACTGGTTCTGTTGACAAATTTGTACCATATTATTCTTTCTAGTTATGTCAATATCAGCAACTACCTTAACTTTGAGACCTTCATTAACACTGCAGTTCCAAGCTGCCTGAAAGGCTTAATTATTTTCAGAAAGCTACTAATTGCAAACTATATTTTGCGCTCAGTTGGCCCAAAATGTCTGATGTAAAAAAAAAAAAGAACTCTTATTCTAGTTAGCTTCCATCTGGCTTTTCTGAAAGGTTTCACTTCCTTTATCAGCACATTTATCTCAGAGACATGGGTGTAATTGGCTATACAACGGCTATTGTCAGAGATACGGGTGTAATTGGCTATACAACGGCTATTGTCAGAGACATGGGTGTAATTGGCTATACAACGGCTATTGTCAGAGACATGGGTGTAATTGGCTATACAACGGCTATTGTTCTTGAGCCTTGTTGGCTTTTTAAACATGTGCAATAGTCAGATAGTAAGCTGACACTGTTAAGAAAAGTTCAAATTAAGTGTTGTGCTTTTTCTGGCTGCTGTAATATTTTATGAGTCAAAGATTTTTTTAATTTTTACACCCAGTAGCCTATGTAATTAGAGTAAAAAAGCACCTCCTTTTTTTCAGAATTTTATTCAATATGAGATCTCTTTTATGTAATTTTCTTATAGGTGTTTTCATTCTTTGCTTTTATTTTTAAAAAATTTAATTTGCAAGGGCTTGAGTATTTTTTAATTTTTTTTTTTACATCAGTCTGTGGGATATCACTGACATTTCATTTTGTAATTCATTTCCTACGTATTTGAACAGTAAAGTAATTTGCCTTTTTTCCCCCACAGTTAACACACATGTCCATGCTGATCATATCACAGGGTCTGGATCAATTAAGAAAATGATTCCATCTTGCAAGAGTGTTATAGCAGAAATCAGTAATGCTAGAGCAGATGTTAAATTAAAAGAAGGTGACATTATTAAATTCGGACAGTTTCAACTTGAGGCACGCAGCACTCCTGGACATACAGATGGTACATTGTACATTTTCACAAAAAACTATAATTACCGGTATTTTATAAAATCATCTTTATATGGTGCCTAAAATGTTGCTTTAATTCTAATGTTTTCATTAACATTTCCAGAAAAATTTTAGCTGTTTTGTGAGATTTATGGAAAAATGTATTCAAGAATATTTTTATAATTTTGACAGGTTGCATGTCATTTGTCTGGCATGAGAAAGGAATGGTGTTCACAGGAGATGCTTTGCTTATAAGAGGTTGTGGCAGGACAGACTTTCAGCAAGGTTAGACACCAAGTTTGTTTAAAAGAGCCAAAATGTGTCCAAAAAGGCTCCTTAATTTAAATATTTTAATTTGTCTTTTATTTTTAGTCAAATATGTTGATGTTCAATGGTTTTCACTAATAATTTGCCAGTAAAAAAAGCTGGTAAGTTAATGGACTTACATTCTTTTAAAAAATCAATTCTGACCAGTCAAATATCTCCATATAAGTTGCTAACACCAAGTTTATTCATACAGATACCAATTCACTGCAATTTACCAAGTAATTTACCAAGTAATTGCAGACTGTTTTTTTTATTGTTTTGCATTATAAAACTATGTTCTTATATTAGATTTTTAACAAAGCCAAATCTGTTCTAATTTTATTGTATTTAATAAAGATAGGTAAGAAATAAATAAGTGCTGGGAATTTGACTGCCTAAGGGTCGCATGCCGCCCGCTGAACCATTTAATTTTGGCCCGCGAGACCTGGGAAATGGATTAATGTTTTTGTGAAATGTACAAATTGTAATTTATTATCAGCAAAATCCCTTGAAAATAATAGAATCTCAGTGTAAAATTGTCCAAATTTAAAAGTAATCACAGCAAAATAAAAAAATAGGTTCCATACTAATTATTTTCTTTTATATCTACTAAAATTTATCACTCTGCGCTCCTGAAAAAAATAATTTCCATGCAGTAGATAGACTTAATAAGTATTTGTATCGTGTGGGGATTTCATGATGTTTTACATTTTAAAAAGAAATATATTAAATTTAACTTTTCATTATTTCATTACCAGGTAATCCAGGTACTTTGTATGATAGTGTACACAAAAAAATTCTCTCCTTACCTCAGCATTTTAAGGTATTCCCTGGTCATGATTATACAGGTAAATTATGGAAAAATATCACAATTATTCACAGTTTTGTGTTTTAAGTATTGTTTTACTCCATAAATGTATTCACGCTTAAAGCACTGTAATCCACAAATATCTTATACTTGTAGTTCTAATGTGCCAAAATTGTTTGCGCTGCCACTTCACTAATGTTAAATACTTTAACTACATAGACTATCACAATCAATTATTTCTTGAAGCTCTTGCAAACCTGGCAGTTATGACATCTTCTCTGTATATTTTTATATTCACAACCCCCTATTTTTTTTTCTTTTCTTTCTTGTCCAATCAAATGCCATTTCCTAAACCATTACATTTATTTTGTTTTCTACACATTTGTGGTAAAATTGCGCATCAATTCAGAGTACTAGTCTGTAACTTTTGCTTTTATCTTCATTTTTTACTCTTAACTATTTTATAAGCAATAATTTTGCAGTTCATACTGTGTGATAATAAAGATAAGAAGTTAAATGCTTAAACATCCAATTCGAAATTAATTTTTATGAGGAGGCCATATTGTAATTGAAAAAGGTCCTTACAATTAATGTATCAGTATCATGCTAAAAAGTTGATTTTATCTTATTAATTATAAATCTCTTAAGATGACTTAGCCATACATGCCAAACTGTAGGATCAAAAACTTAACAAAAGTAAAAAAAAAAAACATTTGTAGAACAGCATGAATAACTATACCGAAGAAAATTAAAATGAATACCTGTAGTCGAAAATAGTATAATTTATATATTTTTCATCATTTTTAGAATTGTTTTAAATGCATGAATAAAAAAAACTAATCACCTCCCCTTTGCCCTTGCACTTTTAAGCATGTTTACATCAGACATAAATGGATAGATCATATCTTTTAAATGAAAATTGATAATTTTAAGTGCAATTTTTGTCAAATTTTGAGTCTATTCATTCTGGTCAATAGCAGAATTAATAAAAATTGACCCATATAATGGAATTGATAGCAATTTAGATGTAGTTAGAAATATTTCTTCTGTTAATTTTGCTAGCTGAAGTAATAAAGATTCCTTTATATATGTTAATAAAGTAAAGTAAATTACGTTCGTCTGTCTTGAGAAAGTTATTGAGTACAGTTTACTGCCAACTTATAACCTAATTTTTTATCACTGAAGGAAAATGTCATGTTGATAGATATAGATAATAATCCAGCAGGAGTAACACAATAAATACTAGTAGGTCTACAAAAAGAATATAATATAGACTACAGTTCTCACTGATTTTATCTCTAAATAACGTATAGTTGAACAATGAAGAAGATCATATCAGCTTTTAGTTTTTGAAAGTGTTAACATGTTAAATTTAGCCATGCTGAATTATAAATAAACAGATTTGTATGGTTTACTACTCATGGTAGTTACAACCCACCCCTACTACTTTTTTGTTTTAGTGTTAACCATTGATATCAATTGAAACGGCACTGTTTCTATATTTAGATGACCTATCGATCCTCATCCGACCAGGAGGATTTACATTTCTGTTGTCCGAAGTTAAACTTTTTGCTCTGCCAGTTTTGAATGTGCATATTGTGCAAAGGTATTTCTTTGCTAAATCCAGTTGAAAACCATACAAAAGTCTGTACAGCCGTACAAGTTAAATCTGTTAAAAAGTTTAAAAATTACAGATAAACCTTACAGCTTGGCATTTATGACTTAGGCTTTAGTTCACGCCTTACCTTTTTTAAGGATGTACCAAACAGAATTGAGCTTTATTTCCAATGGCAGGATAACATGAAGAAGTTGTACATTTTTTCATGCCTAATATTTAAACTGTTAACATGATAGTATACAACTATAAATTACTCCTTGAAAAATGCCATTTTCTCCATTTTTTTTACATTAGGCCAAACAATGTCCTCGGTCGGAGAAGAGCTCAGATTCAACTCCAGATTGACAAAGCCAAAGAACGAATTCATTGAAGTTATGGGCAGGCTTAATTTGCCTTACCCAAAACAAATAGGTGAGTTTGCCATTATTCTACACTTAAGGTTATTTAATCAAAACTTAAACTTAAATGTGCTCTAGGCATATTTCCACCATTCCTACCCCACCACCACCAACTATATTCAAGTGAGTATCAGTAAAAATTATTTAAAAAAAAATCTATTACTTTAAACACTTTTGACATACAATTGAAAATCCTAGTGCTTAGAGTGCTTACGTCACAAATTATTCACTTTAAGTTATTTAACCTAACTGCACATTAAATAAGTTAATTTGTCTGTGTTTCTCTGCTTGGGAAAGGGACTTGGGTGCATATTTATTTGTTTTATTTATACCATATAAAACAGGTTATGGCAGTAACTGTTTATAAGGGTTAGGCAAAGATGTAACTAAAGTTATTTTTATAAGACTTCCAAGAAGACTGTTTACTCTTCTTTTTTTCACCAGTGTTATTTCCCTTTCAGATAAAGCTTTGCCAGCAAATATGGTGTGTGGCGTTTTTGATGTCCCAGAAAACAGTTAATTTTTATTGGAGTTGCTGACTAACATAACTTTATTTATTTTCATTTTTCAACAATTGAAAATTAAACTGTCTGTTTAAGCCTTGTCAAAATGTTTTTACTGGATTGTTTGATAAACACGTTTGAGTGATATACATTAAATGGTAATAATTATAGATTTTGTGATTGAAAAAATAGAGATTGTAACATTAATAGATTTTTACCTATTCTTATGGTTTAACCATTTGCACAAAAATGGCCCTAAATAAATGTAAAATTTAAAAAAAGTTATATTTTTAGTAGCTTGCCATTGACTATACTTTCACATATCTTACTGCTAGTGCTTAAGATTCAGTTATGCTTAAGATTCAGTTATGCTTAAGATTCAGTTATGCTTAAGATTCAGTTATGCTTAAGATTCAGTTATGCTTAAGATTCAGTTATGCTTAAGATTCAGTTATGCTTAAGATTCAGCTATGTTTTTACTTTTGTTTTACTTTCCAAGCTTTCAGAATTTGCTCACTAAATGCTATTGCTAGACCTTGTTGTCTTTATAGAATTTTATTCCGGTCAATGAATACTGATTTATGTTGTACATTTTGTTATGAATATAATTTTCTATTTATGTAGCAGATGTTAATGATTTGAATTTGAAATAAAAAGGGGTGATTATTCAAAAGTTGATTTAATAATGTTCTTGTGTTGTCGGTTATCTTCCATGTTGATCTTTTAAATTTCAATGTTTAAAAGTTGACTATACTGAGAATTTAAAACTGTTAAAATTTAAAAAAGATAATTTGGGATATAACATTATCTTTAAATAAATAAATCATTGAATGGAGAGAAGCACACTCTTTGTCACGTTCATTTTGTGATCAGTTGTTAAAAAAAAGAAAAGATAGTTGTAATCGTCTCTAGTAGGACACAACACACAAGTTAACTTGTCTCTAGTAGGACACAACACACAAGTTGACTTGTTCTAGTAGGACACAACACACAAGTTCAATTGTCTCTAGTAGGACACAAAACACAAGTTGACTTGTATCTAGTAGCACACAATACACAAGCTTTCCGTATCTAGTAGGAAACAACACACAAGCTGTCCGTAATCTAGTAAGACACAACACACAAGCTGTCCGTATTTAGTAGCACACAACACACAAGTTGACTTGTCTCTAGTAGGACACAACACACAAGCTGTCCGTATCTAGTAGGACACAACACACAAGCTGTCCATATCTCGTAGGACACAACACACAAGCTGTTCGTATCTCGCAGCACACAACACACAAGCTGTCCGTATCTAGTAGCACACAACACACAAGCTGCCCGTCTCTAGTGTGACAAAAAAAAGTTGACTTGCCTTTAGTAAAACTAATAATTATTTTAATGGCAGGCCAGCAAAGCAAGTGAGACTCCAAATACCCTAATGCACTCATTAGCACTTAATCCATTTTATTATTTATTTAATGGAAATATGGTATGGTATCGTGTATCCATCAAATGGGAACATGGAATGGTCATTGTAGCCATCAAATGGAAACTTGGAATGGTACACTGTAGCCATCAAATGGGAACATGGAATGGTACACTATAGCCATCAAATGGGAAAATGGTATGGTACACAGTAGCCATCAAATGGGAACATGGTTTGGTACACTGTAGCCATCAAATTTGCTAACCTAGTTAGCATACGCAACACTGTTAATTATATTGTAGTCTCAAGGTTAATAAGATCAAATGTGAACTGCGCTGTGGGTGATCCTTTCTTTTAATCACTGATGCTAATGTTTTAGGCCTAGGTTATAACATTGTAGGCCCAGGTGCTAATGTTCTAGGCCTAGGTGCTAATGTTTTAGGCCTGGGTGCTAATGTTGTAGGCCTGGGTGCTAATATTTTAGGCCTGGGTGCTAATGTTGTAGTCCTGGGTGCTAATAATTTAGGCCTGGGTGCTAATGTTGTCGGCCTGGGTGCTAATGTTGTAGGCCTGGGTGCTAATGTTGTAGGCCTGAGTGCTAATATTTTAGGCCTGGGTGCTAATGTTGTAGGCCTGGGTGCTAATGTTTTAGGCCTGGGTGCTAATGTTTTAGGCCTGGGTGCTAATGTTGTAGGCCTGGGTGCTAATGTTGTAGGCCTGAGTGCTAGTATTTTAGGCCTGGGTGCTAATGTTGTAGTCCTGGGTGCTAATGTTGTAGGCCTGGGTGCTAATATTTTAGGCCTGGGTGCTAATGTTGTAGTCCTGGGTGCTATATTTTAGGCCTGGGTGCTAATATTTAGGCCTGGGTGCTAATATTTTAGGCCTGGGTGCTAATTTTGTAGTCCTGGGTGCTAATAATTTAGGCCTGGGTGCTAATGTTGTCGGCCTGGGTGCTAATGTTGTAGGCCTGGGTGATAATGTTGTAGGCCTGAGTGCTAGTATTTTAGGCCTGGGTGCTAATGTTGTAGGGCCTGAACTGCGCTGTTCATGATCATTTCTTTTAATAACTGATTCTAATATTTAAGGCCTAGTTTATACTATTTTAGGCCTAGGTGCTAATGTTGTAGACCTTGGTGCTAATGTTGTAAGCCTGGGTGTTAATGGTGTAGGTCTGTGTGCTAATGTTGTAGGCCTACTTACATACTTGTTACACTTTTGTTTTCAATTTTTGAATTTCCAATATATTGAGAAGGGTTCCACAAAAAAAAAAAAAAAAAGAATCAAGTCATTATAAGCATCATTGCAGGTTATTTACTCGATTTGTTTTGTCCCATGCAGTGACTTAACGAGGGAAAAGCTTTTTTTTTTTGACACCGCCTTTTTCTCCAAGATAAAGGAGACCTATACATTGGCCAAAATGCAACCCCTTAATTAAAGATTAAAAAAAAAAATGTTCCGTCCGGGGCATGGGGCACCTCCCCACATTCCTACCTAAGCCAGTGGTCACATGATCAGAGATATAAATTCCTACAGGCCTGTCTTGGCGGTTACGTGAGCGACTCATTTTGAATAATCGGGAATTTGTATTAAGAACCAACGGTGCGCACTGTCTGTCACTAAAAAGAAGATAATAAAATTTAACTTTACTAGCAAACATCTTGGTCGTCCTTACAATCTTCTTGAACGTGTCTTGAAGATTTATTGTGGCTCTAATTTTCTATCTACTTTCTATCAGCTCCAGAGATAAGCATTGAGATGGACATTTATTAAAGAAGAAGGACCGAAGAGAAATTTAGCTGACTAAAAATGACAGTAAGTTCCTTTTGTTTCATTTCACACTTTCATTGTTCGCAAACCAGGACAGGCGCTTGCTGGGGGGTGGGATGGTAGAGGGGCCATGGGGAAATTAAATTTTGACGCCCTATACACCGGCCAATCTGATTTGGAGACACGTCACAGTCATACCAGGTCTTACAAGTCGTAAAGGGACATGCCGTATTCTTACTGGGTCTTACAGGTCATAATGGGACTTGTTGAATTCTTACCGGGTCTTACAGGTCATAATGGGACATGTCGAATTCTTACTGGGTCTTACAGGTCATAATGGGACATGTCGAAATCTTACTGGGTCTTACAGGTCATAATGGGACATGTCGTATTCTTACTGGGTCTTACAGGTCACAATGGGACATGTCGAATTCTTACTGGGTCTTACAGATCATAATGGGACATATCGTATTCATTAAAAAAAAACATGTCTTGATAAATTTCCCAAGACAAAGTAAATTATCACAGCATTCGTTAATTTTTTTGAAAAAGAGCAGATGATACATCCAGAAATAAATGACGTGAAATATTAAAAGTAAGCTTAGCCATTAAAATACTTCAATGGGATTAAAATAAAGTTAAAGTTCTTTTTCGATTTTTTTTTTAAAGCGAACGTAAACCATTGTTTCAGGGCAACCCGCTGTCATTTGCCAGGATGGACAACAACACACGAGTAAGCTTTTTGGGCATGATAAGGCAGTGCTTACCCATCACCCACCATTCAAGAGTTGATTATGAGCAAATGGCTAACAGATCGTACATTGATGTGCCAGATATATACTTCTTGGACCACTGTCAGGTGAATGCTTAACTAAACGGGCGGTGGTGGTGGTGATGGACTGGGTAAGTTCCAACAGCAATATATGTCCTCTACCATTGCACGCTATGTCATCTCCACCAGCAACCTTCTCGCGTTTCAAACGATGCCCTCTCTCATTGTAATATATGGCATACCCCCTTGCAATATTTGTCATATCTCCTTACACTATATGTCCTCTCCCATTACAATCTACGTCATCTCCGACTACAATATATGTCATGACCCACTGCAATGACATATTACAATTTAATTTGACATTAAGCTAAATTTATATATTCTTACCTCGGTTAATATTTTGGCTGTAGGTTGCTACATGGGCCGACTCAATTGGATTAGGACAGTTTTCTCCCCTGTTCAGATACCATCTCATTAATGGGAGAAAACTCCTCACCCTTGACGCCATCTCATTGCACAGACTTGGCTCCAGCAATATGATAGCTAATATTCAAATGGAAAATGCCATAAGGTATCTAATTCTTTAAAAAAAAAAGAAGTAAGGGGGGTGGGGGTGGGTGGGGTCATTTTCGAAAGTATTTCGATGCAATGTAAGCTGCTATCTTACATTTAAAGAAAACCCAAATTAATTACATGCTTAAAATTTCAAAATTAACTTTTTAAAATTTTATAAAACTTATTTAAATAGAAGTGTTTTACTAATTTATAAAAAAGTTGCGCTAATACTTTTCAACCTCTCTTTTCAGTTAATCTAGTCCCAACATCAAATGTCAAGATATTTAGTATCCTAATTTGTTAATACACTTGTTATTTATTAAAGAAATAACACCATGCCCCACGCGCCCCTTTTTTGCCATAGGGATGTGAGTATCAGAGCCAGACGAGAAAGTGAGAGTTATCAAGTCCAACCTTACTTTGTCACACAGGCGTTGACTCTGGGTCGTCTGCCGCCACAACGCTACCACAGGGAACTCTTTCAGTTTACAGATCCCTGGCTGACAGAAAACTACAATTTTGTGAACATCAGCGCCAATGACCTCCGCCTGCACGTGAAGAACCTAAATACATACCGCCACTACAGCAACTCAAGGCCGTAGTCATGGAAACGCACAACAAAACGTTTTTAAATGATACAAATAAATTCAAGCTTCATTTTATCAGGTGTGAGATTTCGTTTATCATAACATTGAACATCTGATGTCTGGCGTATAGTGGAAAAAATAAATTCATCATGTCAACCATTTTTTGTTTGAGTTTTCTCTCCGACACACCAAACCATGGACGGGCTAGGGATTATGAGTGAATATTTAGATGTTGTCTTACAAAATACAATACATTCACCAGCTCTCTTACATTCAAATACAAGTCTTCTTCAAGCAAGAGACATTTTAATTTCCCTATTTTGCCACCCATCCATCCATTTTCGGCCGCCCCCAGGCAAGAGTTCACATCGAGCGCCCTTCGTTAAAACCCCAGGCTGGGGTGGGGGGGTGGGGGGTGGGGGTGGGAGTGGTCCTTGAGTTTTCTACAACTCACTTACGAAATACACACAAGTCAAGCAATGAAACATAACTACCAAGCAATCCTGTTTAGTTATCGCCCCATTATCGTTCTTTTTGTTTTTTGTGTGTGTGTAAAACCTCTATTCTTAGAGGGTCCATAAGACTAAGAATTATTTTGAAAAATACAATGAAAGAGGCGGGACCTGTTGAGGGAGAAGCCATTAATTGCGTTGAGCAGGTTTCAAACGTGTTAATTAGAAGAAAGCCTTTGACAGGAATGCCGCAGTTGATTTGACAGATAAACACGCTAACGCGATGTCAGCAGTTGCTTTGTTTACACAGGCCTACTGGACATCGCCGGGTCTACGTCATGGGGCTGACAGCAATAAATGTGTTCATGAGATCAAAATGGACAAGAATGAAGGGAGGTAAGCGCTGGTAGTTATACTTACCTGCTTCAATGTTTAGTCGTCATTGCAAGGAAGCCAGGCAGAAGTAAGTCAAGCCTAACTTTAGTATTATACAATATCTGATTACATAATATGTGAAGATCGCTGTACACACAAGAATGAAAATTGAAAGTTAATTTATCCCATTGCTAATTAGATGTCCTCTTTATTTCTTCAATGGTTAGATCTACTACCATTACATCATTGAAGAACTAATAACATAACATCATTATAGACACCCTAACATAACATCATTGTAGATCTACTAACATTACATCATTGCAGATATACTAACATTACATCATGGTAGATCTACTAATATTACATCATTATAGATTTACTCACATTAAATCATTGCAGATCTACTAACATAACATCATTGTAGATCTACTAACATTACATCATTGCAGATCTACTAACATTACATCATTGCAGATCTACTAACATAGCATCATTGTAGAGCTACTAACATTACATCATTGCAGATCTACTAACATAGCATCATTGTCGATCTACTAACATTACATCATTGCAGATCTACTAACATTACATCATTGTAGATCTACTAATATTACATCATTATAGATTTACTCACATTAAATCATTGCAGATCTACTAACATAACATTATTGTAGATCTACTAACATTACATCATTGCAGATCTACTAACATTACATCATTGCAGATCTACTAACATAGCATCATTGTAGATCTAATAACATTACATCATTGCAGATCTACTAACATTACATCAGTGCAGATCTACTAACATTACATCAGTGTAGATCTACTAACATTAAACCATTCCAGATCTACTCACATTGCATCATTGTAGATCTACTAACATACAATCAATGTAGATCAACTAACATAAAGTCATTGTAGATCTACTAACAAGCATCATTGTAAATCTACTAACACAACATCATTGGAGATCTACTAAGATTACATTGTAGATCTACTAACATAACATCATTGTAGATCTACTAACATAACATCATTTAGATCTGCTAACATAACATCATTGTAAATCTTCAAGCATTACATCATTGTAATCATGGACATCTCTCTTCTAATTCGAATTAAACCTGGGCAAAAAAATTTAAAGGTCTTTAAGATAGTGTTAAATTTGTTGCCAGCTGAAATGTTTTTTTCTCCAAATAACTAGGCTAATAATTGTTTTTGAAAGTCTAAGACAAAACTTTAATTTGAACTTCCTAATCGTCTACACCCTGTCTTAATGATTTATTATTATTATTTGTATTTTAAAAATAAATGATGATTACTTTTATCCTTCAAACGAATAAGACATTTAGAGAATACGTTTAGTCTGCTCTTCAATCAGACTTCGGCATTTACAAGGCTACACTATCAGTTTAACTCCTGATAGCACTAAGTTCACCATGTTTGAAACCTGTAGACTGTAGTTGATGACCATCATTGACCTTAACCCCTCACCCCCCGTAGACAGTCCAAGGTTGTTCTTGTCTAATCTACATTTATTGAGATATCGCTATTCTATAATCTGGATTATGGGATTATCTTATATCTTTATTTAGCATCAATAATAATAATAATAAAAAAAATCACACATTTGTACACCTTACATGGTGAGACTTGCAATTTAAGAATATTTTTTTTTACATCTTCACATTTTGACCCATTAATACATGTTACGATTTAACAATTTTAAATTTTACGCTAAATTTAATGATATTTTACTTTTTAAACTTTGCACCTTCATATTTTTAATTCCTTTAGACAATTCAAGTTTAAATTTCAACTTAATGGACTCTTTAACTACTGTTACTCGCAAGTCTTTTGGTGGGATTTTAAAAATTGTATCAATCAATTTTAATTATCAAATAAATGCCCTGAAGTATGTCTAAAACTTATTTAAATCATTTCTCAAATAATTCGTTAATTCGTTAAATTACTGAGCAAATGAACAAGATATGTAGGCCTACACAATTCAAGGATATCTAAATGTGTTCCCAAATATTTTACGAGGACATACAGGGCATAAAAAAAATGATTCACTTCAATGTGTTAAGTATCTTGGATATAAACACAAGACTTCTAATTGAAGGATAATATTAAACTATTTAACATCGCAGCTCTCCACCATGGACACTCACTACTCACCCCAGGCATTTCTTACATGCAGCGCCAAACTCTCCACAACATCCGGAATGAGTTGGCCAAATTCGAGGGCGGTTCTGTTGACTTAGACTTGGACGATGAAACTGGACTGGCGATACTGACTCTAAATAATCCTCGCAGAATGAATTCTATGACAGGTAACACCCAGTAACCAATGGTTCTCAAACTTCTTTCGATCACAATATTTAGTTTCTACTTACAGTAAACCACTGTGCTCCAGTGAATTTCCTTTCTTTCTTTACTACGGTATGCCAGCCTATCACCATATCATGTAACGGCCATGTGTTAAATCTATCCGAAAATTGAAAATGCCCATTCATTGAAGAAAACAAGAGCTTAGTAAGGCGCGAAGGATTGTCTGTTAAAAATTATCAACTAAAATTATGTCAGACATTTATTGAGCCTATCTCTCCTTTAAATGGCACACCTAGGAAGGGTACGGGCAACTTGGGCAGTTGCCCAGGGCGCCATGTGCTTAGGGCACCATCCACGATCTTCCAAAATGGGAAAAATCCTTGCATATGGGTGCCATGGAAGAAAAATAGAAACTGCGGTTGGCTAATTGTACATACTTTACAAATACAAATTAAGAAAAAAAAGTTATTTTTCATTGTTTGTTTTAAAAAAAAACAACCTAGGTAATAAACGCATGGCCTTGTCCAATGTTCCCTCTAAGGTTGGCTGGTTCGTGTGCAAAGTCACAGTTGTGTGCACAGTTTTACAGCATCAAATTTTTTGTGTGCAAAATTTTACAGCCTACAAACACAAACACACTTGCATGGAAATTTGCTGCGCGGATACTCAAAACTGCTGCACGGCGTCTGTGAGATAGCTGCGCGGCTGCGCAGCCGCGCAGCTTAAAGGGAACATTGACCTAGTCCCCAGTCTTTTCATTGCACAAATGTTTTGATTATACTTAAAAGAGGCGCCAAAGTTGAGCTTGCCAAGGATGCCAGGAACCGCAGGGGGATGGGCAATGGCAGCCTTATAGTTAACTCAATTTTGTACAACTCAGGTCTAAAAATAATATGACCACACCCACAGGTAAAATGATGGTCGACCTGGCTGATTGTGTGAGTGAGCTGACGAAGTGGAGTCACGGGAAAGGTCTCATCTTGAAAGGTCAAGGTGGCAATTTTTGCACTGGCGGGGATCTGACATTCGTGAAGAAGGCCCTGCATTATGGAGGGGAGATGGCGGCCTACCAGCATGACACCCTGACACGTCTGCTCAACCTTCCTCTGATCAGCGTCGCCTTAGTTCAGGGTCACACTCTCGGCGGGGGAGCGGAGCTGTCCACTGCCTGCGACTACAGAGTGATGTCATCAACAGCGAAGATTGGATTTGTCCAGATGAAGATGGGTCTGACCACGGCCTGGGGCGCTGCGACCCGGCTCACTAGGCTGTTGGGTCGGAGGAAAGCCATCAACCTTTTATGCTCGGCAAAAATTCTCACGGCTCGTTCGGCATTGAGTGAGGGGCTCGCCGACTACGTGATACCAGAATCATGTGATGATGAGCTCCAGGAAACAAAACATTGGCTGCTGACCAACATGTGTTCCTTGGACCCTGACGTCATTCAATCCCTCAAGCGCCTAGTCGTTCGCGCAGATCTCAGAAGTAACTCAAGTTATGCCCCTTGATAAGGGGAAATAAATCAAACCTGTGTGAAATGGGAAGGTGTGCATAGTTAGGGGTCGTTCGTGAATTACGTCAGGCTAAAAATGATCTCTTTAGACCCCCCCCCCTCCCCTGTCACGAAATGTCACAAATCTTTACCCCCCCTCCCGTGTCACGTCACACCTAAAAAAATAAAATCATACATAAAATTTTCATAACTAAATTAAGATTTTATTTTATTCTTTAAAATTTTCCCATGATGGATTAAGAAAACAGTATTATAATAAAACTCAGTTTCATAGTACCTATAATACCTGAGGCAATGTTTGTCAAATTAATTCAATAATTTTTTTTTTAAATTAAAAAATTGTAGAATTAAATTTTTAAAAAAAGTGACGTCACAAATTTTTTAACCTCTTCCCTGTCACAAAGTGCCACAAATTCTCCCCCCCCTCACCCCCCCCTGACGTGACGTAATTTGCGAACGACCCCTTAGGGATTGGGGAGTTATTTTAAAACTAAGTGAATTAAAGTTGACAATTTTTATATTGCATAAATTTATACACTTTTTTGCGATTATAAAATTTTAATTTTAAGATAAAATGGTGAAAATGTTCAGGATTAAGTTGTTTGTTTGTTATTTTTATAAAAATAGCTTCCGACTGTGCACACCACTTCTATGTGCACCGTCAAAACCAAAATTGGACGACTGTACAACATTTTATCAGGTTAAATTATAATAAAATACTTTAAGGTGTACTAAATATAATGCACTGTTAATAAAAATAATTAGAATACCAGATTTGATGGCGTTAGTTGTCAGTCTTTAATTTTACATACTAGCAAAGCAGCCCACGTGACTGGGAGTTATGATAATATACCACAAGGGGGGGGGGTCAAGGCTTTAAATGGTGACACCCCGCAAGGCATTGGTGCTACAGACAAAAATAATGATGAACATCAATGATTAATTTTCTGTGCGTGCATGCAGTGATCATACCAACCAGAGCTTTCAAAAGACCAAACATATTTGCAGTGGACTCCATAGATTTGATGTCGTCAAAGAATCCATCGAGCTCACCTGGCCAGTGTTTCGCCACAGATGTCTTGAAAACCACATGACCCAGGAAAGTGAAAGTTGGTCAATAAACCTGTTGGTTAGTTCTTACTTCAAAATGGTGACTGAATACATTAGCAGTAAGCATTCCTATGTGTGCTGCTAAGCGATTTATACTATATACATGTATTAGCTTTATTCCATATACTTGTATTAGCTTTATTCCATATACATGTATTAGCTTTATTCCATATACATGTATTAGCTTTATTCCATATACATGTATTAGCTTTATTCCAAATAATGTATATATTTTAATACGTAAACTTAAATGCATTTATTCAGTTAAAGACTCATTTACATATTGGCACCCAAACCGTGCTTCACGGCCAATGGGAGTCTAATAATACGGGTATGTGCATACACATCATACAATAATAAATTAATTAGTGTCTAATTAAACAACCAATAAAACCAACTTTCACGTAAAAATCCTATATAAAATGTAAGATCGAGAAATGTGGGGGGGGGGGGGGCTGAAAATGGGAAAAAAAATGTATTAAAGTAAGGCACTTTAAAAGAATCCAAATTCGTGCTTTCCCACCCCCCCCCCAAAACAAAGTGTGCATATTAAATTTTTTTTTGTTACTTTAGTTAAATGAAAATGTATAATAACGTAATTAGGCTTAAAGATCATAATATAAGCTTAGGCCACTCTTTGATTAGGAACTTGGTCACGTGCTTTCCCACCCCCCCCTCCCCCAGGCTCACAACCGCACATTTTTTTCACGCCTCTGAACTACAATAATATTCTAATGACACGCCCACTTTTAAACCGCAGATTTATTAAAAAAACTAGATCTTATTTCAGAAATACAAAAGAAAATATTACGCACCAAAAGCACTTGCGATATTTTTAAAAATCTCATTAGGCGCAGTTATCGGGAATTTTATTTCGTGAAATCAGTGGTGTCATACTTCCTTCATCTTCCCTTTGAAAAACAGGAAAACCTGATAATTGGGGGTTGGGGGAGATGGCGAAAAGGGTTAGGAGAGAGCAGATTGCGGAGCACAGGCATGTGTTTGTATGGAGAGGTCAGGGCTGAAACGACTGGGAAGAGTAAGGGTGTGAGTGAAAGAGTAGTGAGATCAGTCAGCAGTATAAAGGTGGTAGAGATGAGGGGTGATGTGGAGGAGAGCATTAGACGTTATGTGATACAAGGAGGGGGCAGGGATTAGATATAATGGGGAGTAGCAGGGGGCTTGGTGAGTAAAAGGTGGCTTGGTAAGTAGAAGGGGACTAGATGAGTAGAAGGGGGGGCTTGGTGAGTAAAAGGTGGCTTGGTAAGTAGAAGGGGACTAGATGAGTAGAGGGGGGGGGCTTGGGGAGTAAAAGGTGGCTTGGTAAGAGTAAATGGTGGCTTGGTAAGTAGAAGGGGACTAGATGAGTAGAGGGGGGGCTTGGTGAGTAAAAGGTGGCTTGGTAAGTAGAAGGGGACTAGATGAGTAGAGGGGGGCTTGGTGAGTAAAAGGTGGCTTGGTAAGTAGAAGGGGACTAGATGAGTAGAGGGGGGCTTGGTGAGTAAAAGGTGGCTTGGTAAGTAGAAGGGGACACGGTGAATAGACGGGGACACGGTACACTTTATATTGATGAGCACCAAAATGAAATCAAATAGATAAAGAAATAAGTTCATGTGGTGTCTTAGCTACGGTTAGTGCTAACCATGGCTTGCCAAGATTTTTGCCACCCCAACAACAATAAACAAAACTACACAAAATTCCGCAGTCAGATGAAAATGCCACACCTCCGTGTGAAGAAAAAAAAATTGATATCCTGGACGGACCGCCCACTCCCCACTCCCTTTTCCTACGCAACTGAGTCCATAATTCCTCTTTATTATTTCACGATTCAGAAGATGAAATATTTAAAAAGCCATCCATATCTGCAGCAACCAGTCGTTTAACATCATAGATTCAAATTTTTGAAAATATACATGTTTTAAATTAAAAAAACAAAATTGTTATAGTTTCACTTCACCTAGCAATAAACACCTAACTTTGGTTCTTTAACGAATGCACTTAGAAAAATTATTCACCAGGTGGCGAGGAAGTTGTAAGGGAAAAATAGTTACAAACATTTATAAACACGGTTGATTTATTCCATTTATAACTTTCATTTACTTTAAAAAAAGAATCAGACAAAAATGAGCCATGAAATGAACTCATTAAACATAACGTAGCCACAGGCCACCCGACAATGCTTAGTGGACTCCTTGTGATCCACGGACAATAAGTTGGGAACCCTTTAAAAATATTAAGCTAATAGAAGCGTACTTTTAAAAATTATAGATCATAAAAAATAATAAAGTTAAGAGAAATTATTTAAAAAATCAAAAGCTTGACACCATTCAATTATGTACACACATACAACCACACACAAACACACATGTGTCAAGTAAGAACACCTTGACTGGTAGACCTAGGAGTACGACTGGCATCAAATTCATCGCATGTGTCTTTTATTTTTATGAGACACCTGTTAGTGTCCCCATTTCAATTTCTGTATGACTCTATGACATGTTTTCACTGGATCTGCCACTGTTATAAGTTAATCCATTGGGTTCCTGTGAGTGAGCGCACAACTACAAAATTCTGTCCCTGGCGTACAGCTGCATAGAAGGCTCTGCACCGGAATATCTTAAAGAACTGATTTATAAACATGTATCCTTATAGAACCTGTGGTCTTCAACACAGTCCTCACTAAAAATTCCCTGTGTGGATGAACACAGAAAAAGGTCTTACGGTGTGCGCTCTTTTGAAGCGATAGCGCTAAAATTATGGAACAGTGTGCCTCAATCTTTGAGGGGAATTGTAAATGATACAAACAATCATTTAAGAAATATTTTAAAACTTTTTTTGTTTCAATAGATTTAAGAAAACCAGAGTGCAGTGAGCATGCTAAAGTAGCATGGATACCAGCGCTATATAAATAGTCAATAAAAAAAAAAATCAAAATATTTCTATATAATTCTGTAAATCTCAAGGTCTCCCTCTCTTTCTGAGTGTGGGTCTGTCCGTCTCTGTCTCTCTCGTTCTCTCAAATATAATTAAAAAACTTGACCCCAAATAAACCACACCAATTCGCTCATTTAAAAAAAAAAAACCCGAAGATCTTCCTAGAAATCTCAAACGAAAAACGCGTTCGTATTTCCTTCATGTCTTCTGACGTCGTTCCTCAGCAGCATTTCCATGACAGTAACCAAGTGACGTAGACTAGCAGTCACAGAGGCCAAGAGTCGGTGAGGCAAGGCATCGTTACGTGTAAGTTATTGTTGGCGGCTTCGGTAATAAGGACTGTCATTGCATCAGACAAGAAAACACATCGATATTCATCTCGTAGGAAAACGGGGCACCTTTAATTTCATCATAGAATGGCGCCCATTTTTGCGCTTGCAGCCTCAGCCTTACTGGGAAGTGTCGCAGCTGCAGCAGAGCAAGTTAAAAGTAAGTACACAATTACTTTGTTACTTTCACAATTTGATTAGAAGCAAAGTGTTAGTGCGAGCTGTTAATTTAAGCCAGCGGTACTCAATAGTGTCAAAGATTTCAAGGAACTCATATTTCCCATTTTGATGGCGCGTTATAATGTATTGTGTCTCTCATCAAGACAACGGTTACATGGTGAGTCGAGTGTTAAATCGGCCTACAGACGTTGCTAATAATAATGATTCAAAGTATTTAGGAGGAACTTATGTGACTCCCTTCATGACTTAGTAGTCAACGGGACAAGGTTATGTGCTACTGATTTAGTCAATATCGCATCAACAATGAAAGAAACAAGGAATTTATTGATTCACTGTCCATTGTTGCAAAGCCGTTTTAATATTTTGACCTCCTTTTTCAAAACTATTAAAAAATAGAATAATATGTCCTAGTGCCTTCAAGAAAATCAATCATCTCTTTAATTAAACTTAAGTTAACATGTTTTAGTTGTAATGCAAGTGTGGGTAGTACTTACATTTACCTAGTTCAGAAGCTTAGTGAAAAAAACAAACAAACATTTTTACATGTATTTCTTACAGTCGCAGACTTAACTCTATATTTGTGTCTCCCAACCCAAACCATCCCCTTCCCTCACATAAATGATGCGTGTTATTTGATTCTTGTGGTCCCGTTACAATGGGCCTATGAGGAAACAAAAGGAGAATTCTCGAGTTTCTACCATTGTTATTAACTGTTACATCAAAGTCAATCCCACTGGCTAGGCTGTGATGAATTTAACCTTGCATTGACACTTGTCTTTGATGAATTGAACCACACATGGCCCCTGTCTCTGATGAGCTTAACCACATATTGACCCTTGTCATTGATGTGATGAATTGTATCACACATTGACCCTTGTATTTGATGTGATGAATTGAACCCCACATTGACTCTTGTCTGTGATGTGATGAATTGTATCACACATTGACTCACATTGACCCTTGTCTTTGATGAATTTACCATATATTGACCCTTGTCCTTGTGATACTTTTAACCCCACATTGACCCTTGTCTTTGATGTGATACATTAAACCACACATTGACCCTTGTCATTGATGTGGTGAATTGAACAACACATTGACCCTTGTCTTTGATGTGATACATTGAACCACACATTGACCCTTGTCTTTGATGTGATACATTGAACCACACATTGACCCTTGTCTTTGATGTGATACATTGAACCACACATTGACCCTTGTCTTTGATGTGATACATTGAACCACACATTGACCCTTGTCTTTGATATGACATTCTATCAACTTGACTTGTGAAATCACATGTTCAAATGTTCATTTCAGCATGGGGTAGAATCAATTGGGTCACCATGAAAGATGGCCAGAGACTAGTCAAAGAGCAGTAAGTATTCTATCGTACGTTCTCTCCCCTTAGCTGTGTATACATGTCCTTAACGCTTGTCTTTGTAAATAAGACATTTATCAGAAATCTTTCTTGAAGGTCAATTTGTTTAAAACCAGTTGTTGCTATTTTCTTTGTGCCATATTATAATGTACATAACATTTTTTTATGGTGCAGGTTTTATTTCCAGAATTTGTACGTTGTCATTGTAAATATCATCAAAGTTACACCTACAAAAGTTGTATAATATGTTCAATATGTTCAACTTGCAGGGGTAAGCCAGCCATGGTTGTGTTCCACAAGCCCTGGTGCCGTGCATGTAAAGGTAAGAAAAAAAAATGAATTCATTAAATTCCTCGCCAAGTAGTTAAGTCAGGTCATCCAGGTTCGATACTCCACGTAGATTCAAGGTCGGCAACTAGATTCGTTATGGCAAGAAGATTCAAGGCAGGCAATCCAATTTTAAATAAAAACTGATGCAGGGAGTTAAGAAATAGATTTAAAAAAATTAATACATGCCAAATGACAATAAATATTGTTCACTTTAAATCATTTCTAAATGTTATTATTTTAAAAAGAAACACAAAATCAGTGAAATAACCTTTGCCATTGACAGGAGCATCATTGTAGTTACACCATGACTTGTTCAAATGTTGGATGATGATACGATTAACAATCTATTATTTCTACAGCTCTGAGACCCAGATTCGCCAACAGTCGTGAAATTGAACAGTTGAGCAACGATTTCATCATGATCAGCGTAGAGGTGAGTGAAGATTTCTTCATTGTTCTAACAGTTTGTGTAATGCAGCTATAGTGCCCTAAATATAAATTCTGTTAATGTTTAGTTCATTAATTCAATCCTTCATTAAGATTATTTTAAAAAAAACGGTGAAAATGAACACCTTTAATTAAAAATATTTTGAAATTGACATAACATAAATTTGTACTGGTCATAGTGACAGATCCTTCTGGATCTCCAACTCATGCAGCAGGTGAACTAAGAAACGGCAGCTTATGTCACACCCCCCCCCCCCCCAATCTCTTTAAATAAACTATTGTACCAATATTTTCCTTCTCTAGGAAGAGGAAGTCCCCAAAAATTCTGAGTTGAGCCCTGACGGTGCATACATCCCTAGGATACTATTTATGGGTAAGTTTTTGTTCCAACCTCGTTCTCGTCTCCGTTCTTAAAAGTACATTTGAATATTGAAGTTTTGTTCATTTTGGTTGATATCTTAATTAGCTTAAACAAAATTAGTGCCAAGTTTAAGATGGTGGATTCTGGGGTGGGGCTCACAAGGTGTAGAGATTTTGAACTCTGGCTATTTCAATAATGGTCATCGCACCTATTATCAATTTTTTTGGGACTGCTTTCTAATGACGAAATCCAAACGGGCAGAGATGATTTTTCTTACCTTAAGATTTTAACGTAGACATGCAGCGGGACACTTTACTAGTGCAGTTGCTCCCACTGTGTCTCAGTCAATGTAAACACATTTTCTATAAGAACTAAATCGTTAGACGGGACACAGGTTGTTAGACGGGACACAGATTGTTAGATGCCATTGGCTACCGGATAAGTAGTCCGTGTTTACTTTCTAGATCCTGAGGGTAAAGTCCTGAATCATGTGTATAACCAGAAGGGTAACAAACAGTACAGATATTACTATGCCGAGACCGCTTCAAGTAAGTACAACTCTATTTTTTGTTGTGTTTTCAGACCAAGAAGGCAAAGTCCTGAAGCATGTTGTCAACAAGGGGAGTGAGGGCTTTAGATATTACTATTATGAAACGGATTCAAGTAGGTTTTCTTTAGATGTTTTTCCCTTATAAATCAATGTCATATAATACATATAAGAGCATTTAAATCTTTTAATGTTTTGGTCACATCTGTTATATATTAATGAAAAGATTAATTATATTTTCTTTTATTTGAACATAAAAATTCCGTTGTATGGCCTGGTAACACAAGGCTCAGCAATCGGGAATGGTCTGTGGAACATCATTTGGGAACGCTGATCTAGAAAGCTATTATCTCACCCAGCGGCTCTCAACCTTTGGGTCACGACCCCTGTGGGGTCACCTAAGACCATCGGAAAACACAAATACTCTACAAATAGATTAGAAAGTAGAATCGAAAATATTTTTTTTTTGGGGGGGGGGGGGTGGGGGGCGTCACCATAACATGAGAAACGGTATTAAAGGCAAAGTGTCACGCATTAGGAAGATTGAGAACCCCTGATCTAGCCCAATGGATTTTTTTGTGGGGGGGGGGGGGGGGGGGGGGCGTCACCATAACATGAGAAACTGTATTAAAGGCAAAGTGTCACGCATTAGGAAGATTGAGAACCCCTGATCTAGCCCAATGGGCAGCGCTGGCCACTTGTGTAAAAGTCACAGCAACTATTGGATGTAAGAATATGTGTAGTCGCCAAGGGGCTATTACACAACGTGCCTGTGTCATCGAAATCCACTCTTTATAAGTTATTGCTCTTTTTTTTTCAGTCATTGACAGCATGAAGAATGTACTCAAGCAGACAGGTGCCCGTAGAAGTAATGCGTAGGTCCAAAAGTCCTTCTCCTCTAAGAACAATTAAGGTAAGCTAGCAGTGAATAGTTGCTACTTTTACTACACCCTTCCACACCAGACAAAATGTGACATTCAACACCAGACAAAATGTGACATTCAACACCAGACAAAATATGACATTCAACACCAGACAAAATGTGACATTCAACACCAGACAAAATGTGACATTCAACACCAGACAAAATGTGACATTCAACACCAGACAAAATGTGACATTCAACACCAGACAAAATATGACATTCAACACCAGACAAAATGTGACATTCAACACCAGACAAAATGTGACTCTTCAACACCAGACATATATGACACTCTCCAACACCAGACACATATGACACTCTCCAACACCAGACATATATGACATTCTCCAACACCAGACAAGATTTGATTTTTGCCATGAGTGCTGTTTTGGGGGGGGGGGTGTTTACATGTCTTTCTAAACATGTGAATATACTTTTAAACTATTTCTACCTTTCCCTATTTTTTATTTGTACACCAGACAAGATTTGATTTTTGCCATGAGTGCTGTTTTGGGGGGGGGGGGTGTTTACATGTCTTTCTAAACATGTGAATATACTTATAAACTATTTCTACCTTTCCCTATTTGTTATTTGTCTGGACGTATGTCCTGGCTGTGTTATACATGTATATAGGATTGGACGGACGGACAGACACATCTATGTATGATTGGACGGATGGACAGACCCATCTATGTATGATTTTGACGGTTGGACATACATATATATGTATGATTAGATGGATGGACAGACACATATTATGTATGATTGGACGGATAGACAGAAACATCTATGCATGATTGGACTGATACATCTATGCATGATTGGACGAATGGACAGAAACATTGACGCATGATTGGATGGATGGGCAGAAACATCTGTGTATGATTGGATGGATGGACAGGAACACCTTTGTATGATTGGACGGATGAAAAGACACATATGTATGACTGAACGGATATACATATATGTATAAATGAATGACTGGACATATATCTATGATTGTAAGATTGGACATACATATATATATGTATTTTTGATCCTAATGATAGATTTATCTATGTATGTTTGGATACAATTGACAGATCTATCTATACATAATTATACTCAATAACATACATCTATGTATGATTGGACGAAAGGACAAATATGGCTATGTATGATTGGACGAACGGGCAAATACGGCTATGTATGATTGGACGAAAGGACAAATACGAATATGTATGATTGGAAGAAAGGACAAATACGGCTATGCATGAATTGACGAATAGACAGATTAATCTATGTACGGTTGACCAATGGTTGGTCCAATGGACCGATGCCTCTGTGGATGGTTGGACGAATGAAAGACACATAAACGATTGGATTAATATACAGACTCGTCTAGGTATGATTTGGCGAATACACAAAACTCATCTATGTATGATGTTACAAATAGACAAACACATGTCTGTATGATGGGATGAATGGACGGATTCATCTACATGATGAAAGGACTAGACAAACTCATCTATGCATGATTGGACGCAAAGAGATAAAGAGAACTTTTTTCAAATCTTTTTTAAAGTTGGAATTTCTATTTATTTTTTCAGTTAAAGAATTGGATGCAATTATGTTTGAATGTTTCTTATATCTTTAATTTTCCAGCTGAAAACTTGGCCTCTCTCTACATGTCATCTATTTGCTTTCCCGAAAATGTCATCATTTGAATCAAAGCTGAATTAGTCCACACATTTGTCAAATTAACAAGATTTCTTGAAACAAGAGCAAATAAAAACATGCTTCATTAACTGTAGTTCCTGGTTTTCTTAAGTTTCTAAATGTTCTATACTTTTTACAATGTCCATTATTTTGTGTTCATTCTCTGGGCTGTTGTGACAAAACACCACAGGTAAAATTATGTTATTACGAGAGGCCAAGGTAAACCAGAAGTCAAGGTTCTCCTGCTAGAAGTGCAGCCGAGCCATTCCAGGATCGGCCTCATAAGCCATTCGAGGAAATGTGAATAAGCTACTCCATCGTCTCACAAACACGGAAAGATGGCTTATGTTACAAAGCGGAGCATAACAGTTGTTACACTAAAATGACTTGAGCCCGCTCCTCTTGGTAGGAATGAACTAATGCAAAGGTTGTTGAGCGACGAATATGCTAAAAACAGGGCCCAGGGCCTCGCGCTTCTACATCTAGAAAACAGTCTTTTAGAGGCGTCATGCTTTACATATTAATGAAAATTGAAAGATTTTAGCAATTTAATTTTATATAAAAGTCGGTGGACAGCACATTTCCGAATTTTAACCTACGATATTATCGGCACATTCCAAAATCAATATATAAATGCGAATCACAAGTGGGATTAACTCTCAATAAGTTTTACTTCTCCCAGATATGAATCGAAAAAAAATATAATAATTTGTTTACAATCACGTTAGACTAAGATATTAGTCCCAGGCGGTAATAACCCTAGCTACACCACTGCTCCGTACTCAGTAGTGAAGAAAAGCAGTGCGCGCCGCTTCTTGTGCCCAGAATCTCAATCCTCTTAGGAACGCCTCATACTCGAGAGGGTCTGAAGCCCAGAGGCAAAGCGTGGTGGGGGCAGGGGGGGACAGATGTCCCCGGGCGCCAGCTAGTTAGGGGCGCCAAAATGTGCTTTGATATTATTTTATTGATGAAAATAATGGGTTTGAGAGTTGAAAAAAAGAAAAAGGGGCGCTAAAANAAACTATGATTTTCCTTTTAGTTTGGTATTAAAGGTATACGTAGGTGGACCATAATGATTCTAGGGACGAAAATACGCTGGGGCTAAAGGCATCAGGGGGCCCCACAACTAGAATGAATTTATGGCTATGTAATATGCATGGGCGCCCGCAGAAAACTTTCTAGGGGGGGGGCAAAAAATCGATTAACTTTCTAAGGGGGGGGGGCAAACATTTTTTAGTAATGTTTTAATGTAGTTTTAATTTACTGTGGCATATTTGTATGGTGAACGAACGGACAAGACATCAGCTTAGTTACTTTATCTTTATTTTCTCTTTACTTTAATACATTTGTTGTCTATTTTTGTCTAAATTTTTTTATCCAATCAATCCAGGGGGGGGGGAGTGCCTCCCTTTTGCCCCCCTACCCTGCGAGCGCCCATGGTAATATGTATGGCGGTGGCGACTAAGTAGGAGTTGGCCCTGGGCATCAAAATTCCGAAGTTCGGGGCTAATAGATGCCCTTCCCCCTCCTCTGAACGGTTGAAATACTACCCCCACCCCTTGCGGAAAAATTACCGGAAAGAAACTGGTCAAAACGCATAGGTTAACACATCCCATAAATCTTTTCATAGCAAATCTTGAATAGTAGGTTATAGAAAAGGAAATTCGGTGACCAGGGAGCACTATTAAGAAGATTTTGTGAAGTACATGAGATTTTATCCTTTTTTTTTCACTATTAAGGATCTATCTTAAGACGATTATGCCACCCACTGAAATTGGCGCCAGAGGTGATTGGCCTTCTTGCCCCTTCCTCAGCACGGCCGAGAGTCTAAAGAGGGTTAGGGGCCTCAGTGGATTACTGTCCCCAGGGCCTCCGCTGCTGTAAAGACGGCCATGATAAAAACTATAACATCCACTTGCGAATATCAAGGTATAAGTTTAACATATGCAGTATAGGCTTTTAACGGCAGCCCGGTCTTAGTTGAGCTCTGATGAGCTGTCATAAATATAAAGGTTGGGACCTAGATTCTAGGGACCATGAAAGTTTGAAAGTCTTTAGAGTTATGGGCTGGAAACAGTTGAGTAATCAAGTGAGGTAACAACTAGTAGTAGTAGTAAGTTGCGATTCTACTACTACTACTATTGATATAAAACGTCTTTATACATTTTTGTCATGTTTTTTTGACGGAAGTTATGAAAAGTTTGAAACCAATTAATACAAACGTCATCATGGACTTCCTCTTAGTATGTTCCCCCGAAGCTTTAACTTGCCACAGTTCAACAATGCCATGTCCACCATTTTGTACGTCTTATTGTTGGTCTTAGTTACCCCTGGTAAAATAACTACCCTCTCCTTACCCTAGCATCGGGCTTAAAAAGTATTTACATGCATATAGTCTTTATGGTGTTTATTTCAAAAGAAACCTAGCAATGAGATACCCGTTAGTTTCAACCAATAACACTGACTTATCTTTTATCTGAAGTAATTAAACACCCGTTAGTTTCAACCAATAACACTGACTTATCTTTTATCTGAAGTAATTAAACACCCGTTAGTTTCAACCAATAACACTGACTTATCTTTTATCTGAAGTAATTAAACATTCGAGATCAGTATGTATATGTTGTTTGACCTTCGCATGCGAAGATGACCAAGGCTATATTCGACGGTGAATACGCAAGTGGTTTGTGAGTGAGTCCTATTTGTGCGTGGAATGCTTGCCCCGAGTGTAGGACACTAGTGTGCTCGGTGGTATTTGTGGCAAATTCCGCTTGCCCTTGCTCTGCACTTTCTTCGGCGTAGTGGAATTGTGGAACGTGTACTCTCTAAAGTGTGTCCCCCACAGTGAGTCTCACTCGCCAACTTGTGCGACCCAAAGCATGTGTTTCACATTAGTTCATATCACTGTCAATGGATTTTTTTAAAGGCAATCTTTGAAGCGTTTGTTCTTTTCTCCAGCCGAACGTTTCCCGTTGACAAGTACACCGTACATTAGTTGTTTAGACAGCTGGCTGTCTTGCATTCACTCAGCATGTCCAGTCCATTTTCTGTGGTCGCAAAACTAAAAGTACGTAACAGAACGTGTGTTGGTTCCGTTAATTTTTATTTCGTCTTTCACTACGTTTATGTTCACTGAAAGTGGAAGTTCTTCTGTACGGTTAGTTGACAGATCAGCTTGTGTGTCACTGCTAATCATTGGGTTTGTTGAGTGACTTGAGGAGAGCTCAGACGCAGTTTGGACGGCAATGTCAAGCATTTTGTTTGGCGAGGACACCTGACTAACCTCTGAGCTTCTGCTGCTGTTCGTGTCGACCCCGGTGTGGCGGCTGTCGTTATGAAAGGTTGCCGATGCGCTAATGTTTGACGGCGTGTCGTGAGCCTGACCAACTCGTGATGACGCTACATGAGTTCGGTGTGACACTTGATCCCGATGTGTCACTGCCGGGTTCAGAGGTCGCCGATACACCCATAGGTTGAATAATGTCAACAGAAACATTTCGACGCAATAAGTGAAGTTCTCATAAACTGGTGAATACAAATAAAATGGAAAACAACAATGAAATCAATAAAATAACAGCAGCAAC